CTCGCCGAAGCCTCATCCAGATCCTCCTTGGGCAGGCCAAGAACACCATTGGCAAGACCATATCTCTCCTCGATGTCTCCATCGCCATTAGGGTAGAAGACACGAGTGTAGAGGCAGATGACGAAGCCGCCGTAGTCTCCCGTCTTGAGAATCTCCTGACCCCTCTTGTACCGCTCTGACGAGCTCTCATGCTCAATGACCCAGTCGGCGTCGGTCGTCCCCTGCACACGCTGGATGCTGTCCAGCATCTCGCGCTGGGAGACCTTGAAGCTCGAGATGTAGAGGGGCTTGTTCTTCCAGTCCGAGACGGTGGGGGACTTGTCATTTTCATCGTCGGGCAGCTCCTTGAGGCTCAGGAGGGAGGCGACGGCGCGGCCGCACTGGTCCCACGTGGATGTGTTGATGCGCGTGCTGCCGTCGTCGAAGAAGGTGACCTTCTTGTTGGGGATGTCGAAGCCGTACGAGTTGGCGTTGAAGGAGAGGGAGAACTCGTACCAGAAGGAGCAGACGAGGGCGATCCACGAGGCCGTGCCCGTCCTCTCGACGTCGGCCAGCCCGCCGCGCACCATGTCGCCCGTCAGCGTCTCCTTTGCCAGGCTCTCGTTGACGAAGTCGGGCCCGTAGCAGTTTGGCATGATGTAGGGGACGCCGGCCTTGCCCGCCGCGGCGATGAGTTTTGGCTGGATGGTGGAGATGGCGGAGCTGGGGAGGGAGATCATGAGGAACTGCTGGCCCTTGAGGGCGTTGACCAGCGAGGCCTCGTCGTCGTAGTCGACGGGGGCGACTTTCACTCCGTCGGGGAGGTTGGCGCTGCCGCCTGATGCGCGGGTGATGGCTGTGATGGTGTGCTTGCCCGTCTTGAGGAGCTCACGGACGACGCCGGTGCCCACGGTGCCGGAGGCCTATATCAGGGGGGATGATATTAGTTTAGGGGGATCTTGTTTAGGGTGGGTTTTTTGTACTTACACCGACGACGGCGACTCGCTCGATGCGGTTGGTGAAGCCCGCGGGCTGAGTGTTCGCATATTGTTTGGAGGACATGGTATTGACTAACACGGGAGTGTAGGGTAGGTTGTGTATGTGAGGCAGCAGAGGATGTTACTAGTAGTATGTGATTGGAATGGTGGTTTCTTTCATGCTTCCAAACGGATGGCCTCGTCAGGCTTTTATAGAAATATACCATTCGTTCATTCTTTAATAATACCGTAATTGACTTTCGCTTTTTCATACCAAACTGTCTTTCCATCTTCCTAAGTCCGGGCTAGTGGTTGTCGATTGAGAAACAGCTGCCGCCCGGATTTAACCATTTCCGTTTTGGGTAGCTGTTTTCTCCGGGAGTCCCGGCCAAGGCGGGCTCAACGGGATAGAAGCTTTTTGGAAGCCTTTTAGAAGCATGAAGACAAGCTCTGCGAAGCTTGTGGATATAACTGACTAGTTGCCGTGAGAAATGTGTCGGTGATTACGTAGGTACCTCGATTATCTCCATTAGATTAGCGAATAATCTATGCTTGACACCAATCTCGACTCTAATTTAGTTTCTCTGCGGTTAAGCCTGGGTGAATAATGTCAAGTTGCCTTGCCTGATCTTCATGATTGATAATAAACACTGGATTGGGGGGTAAGAAAGTTCTTGTTAAATCAAGGGTATATTATATATCTAAACTCAAAATGAATTACTAGGTATCAAGAGTCACATCATCTATAACAAATGTGCCAGATCATACTGTTTGCTGTTAAATCGCGCCTCTATGGTTTCACCTGGATCTACATCAAAAGTTAAACCTAATCGCGCTTCTCGCCCGGTTGATCCCCCGGAGCGGCGACCGGCGCTGCAGGCGACGATCCCGACACACCGTTGATGGCGCTCCCCTGGCTCGAGCTCACGCCCATGCCGTCGTACATCTCCATGTCAAAGTCGGAGAAGTACTTGCGGTCCAACCCCTGCAGCTCGTCCTCCTCGGACTCGCGGATGTGGCAGCCGGGGATCTTGTTGATGACGAACAGCAGCAGGCAGCTGATGGCGAAACTCCACGCCGCGCAGGTCAGGGCGGCCGCGAGCTGGTATCCCATCTGCTTGAAGTTGCGGCTGTACCACCCGCCCGGGTTCTCTACCGTGACGCCGTCGAGGGCGGGGACGAAGTCGGCGGCGAAGAAGCCCGTCAGGATGTCGCCGAAGACGCCGCCCATGCCGTGGATGGCCCAGATGTCGAGCCCCTCGTCGATGCGCAGGAGGTACTTGTACCGGTTGGTGTAGAAGCAGCCGAGGGAGGTGAGGGCCCCCACTAGGCAGGCCAGGTAGACGGGGACGAAGCCCGCGGCGGGGGTGATGCCGACGAGGCCGCTGATGATGCCCGAGCAGAAGCCGACGATGCTGAACTTGCCGGTGTGGGCGTACTCGAGCAGGGTCCAGGCGACGCCGCCGCCCGAGGCCGCCAGGTTGGTGTTCATGACGACGTAGATGCTGCGGATGCTGAGGTTGGCGGTGCTGGCGCCGTTGAAGGCGAACCAGCCGAACCAGATGAGGATGGTGCCGAGGCCGACGAGGAAGGGGTTGTGGCCCTTGAAGTGGGGGATCTTGGGGTTGTGGCTCTCGCTGTAGGGGTCGACGCGCTTGCCGAGCATGAGGGCCCAGGCGAGGGCGCCGAAGCCGCTGGCGATGTGGACGGGGCCGGAGCCGGCGAAGTCGAGGACGCCGAGGTTGAAGAGCCAGCCAGAGGGGTTCCACTCCCAGTAGGCGAGGCTGTCATCATCTAAGTCAGTTCTATTGGTTTCATACTGATGGGAAAGGGAACATACAAGTAGTAGACGAAGGTGGTCCAGCACAGGATGAAGAGCATGCTGGGGAACAGGCGGCCGCGCTCCAGCATGGCGCCTGCCAGGATCATGGCCGTTGCGGTCACGAAGGTGCAGCCAAAGGCGGCGTAGAGGATATCCGGGATATCAGAGTTGGCCAGGCTGGGATAGGCAAGGACATTGTACAGGACGCCCTTGGAGAGATCACCGAGGATGGGGTTGGTGGTGTGCGCCTGGTACAGAGAGTACCCGTACAGCCAGAACTGGATGGCCACGGCACACGCGCAGAAGAGGGACTGGAAGACCATTGTCAGCGCCGACTTGCGACGATGCATGCCGGCGTAGAGGAAGCCGATGGCCGGGGTGATCTGCCAGCAGAGACATGTCGAGACGAGGAGCCAGCAGAGGTCGCCCTGTGCCAAGTTGTGTGAGTTTTCAGAAAGGACAGTAGATGGAATAGTAGTTTATATTCATCCTACCTTGTTATATGGAGAGTTGATGTTCTGTTCCAGGGGATTGGCTCCCAAGGGGTTCTCACTATACTCGGGCCACGCCTCTACGGGCGGAAGTCCAGCAGTAGACATGATGGAAACTGACGACGAAGAGTACTGATCTGCGATGAAACACTGAAGTAAAGAATCAATTACTGGATTGCGAACGGTCTACTAATAACGGCCGCGGCATGTATCTCGAAGTCGCTGCGTTATAGTTTAAGCTCGAGATAAGGCCCTTGTCAGCCATCCATCCATCTCATTTATGCTTCTGCTTTTATCTGGTGGCTCAACGACAAGCAGACGGGCTAAATCACAGCTGTGCCGGATACCATTACCATTTCGGTAATCATAGCCAGCGAGGCACCCAGCTTAAAACAATTAAGGCCCCTAGCCTGGTTCGCTGGTCGCAATCCTTATCTCGCGGCCTGCATATCCCTTGCATCGAGTGTGTGCGGGATGACACTAACCCCCGCCGCCATTGATAAGAGTCTGGGATGGATGCGCGGCGCCCAACCAGAGGCCGTGCCGCGCTGGATGTCTCGGGGGTCCATTTGGGGTTGCTGATCTAGATGATCTGCCACTGTTCCATCTCTGAGATGTGCGTGGTTCAAGTCTGTAACGGAGCTGAGAGTTGGTACACCAGGTGCCTACATTGTTGTGTAGTCATTTGGCTATTCACTTGGCTATCAATCTTGCCATTAATCCATTTGGATACCGCTTCGAGACAGCTTTCATTCGATTAGAACCAAGGTTGGGCTGATCCGTTATCTATAGTCCCACCCGGGGTAAGCTTGGCGTTTTGTTGCGGACGGCACATCAGTCGACGACGTTAGTGACCCTCACACACTTCCTCCATCTCTACTAATATGGGAGCTTGATAAGACGGGTGAGTTGGCTGCATCTGGGGTAGTGCCGGGCGGTTCCCTTAGCCCGACGTCATCTTGCGTTGGGACTTGGACATTGCACAGCATGATTCTTGGGTATTATCGAATAATTAACGAGAATACCCCTATTCCCTGACTCTTATCATTACCCGTTTGATACTAGGCGTCGACTGATAGATGATGCGGCCAACATGGATCCTCTCCTGTTGTTGGTCTCACGATCCCGATAACACGCTTGCCTTGCTGCCACACTCTCCCGTCCCATCAAATGTTTTATCAACAAAGTTTAGTCAAGGAAAATATGACACAGTCTTTGAGTACCTCTCCTCCCAAGGCTATTGTTTGGCTACCGTGCCTATCATCCAACATCTGAGTCAACGACGCAAGCCCAGAGATAACCGCGCTTATCTTTGCCTACGAGTCTGTCTAGCTAGAGCAACACGAATGTCTCATAATGGATGACGGCACCTCTAATTCCCAAGCCAATAATCCGGCTTGGCCGGTGATATTGGAATACCGACCCAATGGCTCAGCCGGTGCGACCCCAGAGCGGATCCTACCTGTAAGGCAGTGTGGTTGGACAGAAGTCCAGATTAACCAGAGTGCTACCCCTAGAAGTTCCTGATCTTCGAACAAGCTTAAGTGGTAGCTCCTATTTCTAATCGCTGGATTGATGTCTGCTTTGGCGGACTTTCCATCCATGGTGAGCCTGTCTTTGTATCAGGCGATGATCCTTATCTGTCGGGGCGACAATGGCGATCCTCCACAACACTATTCTGCCCGTCGCTGATGGATTGGTCCTTCCCTCATGTAACCTGCCTCATGGACCTTACTGCTGACCAAACGCCCAGGGATCAGCAGGATTGCTCGCATCAAAAAACTTCTCAAAGCTGTTAAACGAGTCAACCGACAGCGCCCAGTCCATAAACTGCGAAAAGTAGTTTGGGTCCATCTGCTGGCCGCTGCTCGAATCCAACCACCCCATCTCGTCCTCCCCTCCTCCCTGCCCATCGTCCAGGCACTTGTTCGCGTCGCACGACATCGCCACCCCCGTCCTCAGCCGCTCGGCGAGGAGGTCCGCCTTGCCCAGCAGGGCGCGCATGATCTTGGCCGCGCTCGCGGCGACGGGGAAGTTGGCGCCGTACCCGTCGAAGATGGCGATGGCGAGCTCGAGGGCCTGGCGCGCCTTCGGGTTGGACGGGTGGATGGGGTTGGCGAGGATGAAGCCGATGATGGTGATGGCGGCGTTCCACTGCCACATGAAGTACTCGGACCAGCCGCTGAAGAGGTCCGTCTCCATCGTGACCTGGTGGGTGATGAGGGTGTAGGCGATGGCGTGGTTGACGGCCGTCATGGCGTGGCGCTCCGAGATGGGCGCGTAGGTCGTCGCGTGGGAGGTGAAGGAGATGAAGGGCCGGCAGAGGTTGAGGGTGAAGGTGTGGTACATGAGCTCGAGGCAGACGCGCTGGCGCTGGAGCCACACGGGGGCGAGGTCCTCGATCACCAGCGGGGAGCGGTCGGTCGAGAAGGGCTCGCCGCCGTTGCGGCGGAGCGTCTTCATCCCGGGGGGCAGTTGGGCTATCCACGCCCTTAGGGAGGGGAGGTTGGAGGCCAGGACCTCGGCGCAGCTTTCTAGGCCCCGGGGGTCCTGGTATAGTGACCCGTGTGATGAGACTTCCCCGAACTTGGGGTAGGTGGCTTCCGCTACTTCGTGCATGCTGAGGACGAGCTTCTCGTGCTGGATGGTGTATGTGAGCCAAGTGACATCGAGATCGTATGAACCAAGGGTCGCCCCATTGTAAGAAGCAACCTCGATATCGTCGGAGGGGAATGATACGGTGAACTGCGAGGGCTGAATCATGGTGGGACGCCCCAGTTTGGCCGCCGACTTCAGTTCGCTCGTGTAGAGAACCCACCAGATCCTCTTGCGCAACTCCCTTTCTCCCCGGGGCAGATCACTCGATGGCTCAAGGTGTAGGCCGAGGATATGGGCGGTTCGGATCGCCTGCGCGAGCACGACGTGGCACATGTTGGCGAACGATGCCGCGCAGAGATAGATCACTGTGAAGATGTGACACTGGACCGAGATGATCGTAGGGCTCTCCAGGTCGGCGGTGAGGAGGGACTGGGACCGGCGATAGTACCATCTGCCGGCAATGGTGGCGTCGTTTTGACCTGAAGCGTTCGAGGTGTCCCTAGCCATGAAAGTGTATCCGTGCTGCAGGCACAGCGCGAGGATGATGTCCACAAGAGGTGAGTTTTTACGGTATGCACTTCCGGTTTCCCACAACGATGCATAATGGGACCGGAGCCATGTCTCGTCCACGACAGGAAGAAAGCAGTGAGACCACTCCCAGAATAGATTGAGGAAGTACTCTTCCTGCGTTCTGTTCATCGGCGAGAACCCATCCCCGGCATTAGCAGCATCACTATCCCTTTCACTTGACTCATTCGCGCTGGCAATTGCCAAGTTCCTGCTCGCACCACGGGGTTGGATACTCCGGTCGGCGCAGAGGACCCCAAACATGGTAGAGAGGTACGATCCAATCCGACTGACAAAGTAGACACCTGAAGACGGGCCATAGTAGGAAGTCTGGTCTGATCTGGCCGTCGCGACCTGTATCCCCTCCCATTGATAGTTGGGCGAATCAGGCGGCGACGAGGATGAACTATCCTGGCCGGTCCTGCGCCATGAGTCTGGACTGGACTTGCTTGAGGTTGGGGCTGGAGTCGGGATAGACACTCGCTGAGACCTGTAGCCCTCGAGCTCGAACTCCAAGTCCTTCACTCTGCGCTGTAACTTTTCAATTTCCCTATATATAGATTAGCCAAGTCCAACTTCAACTCTTAAACAACGGAGGATTGTTACTCACCTGAGCGCCTGGGGCAGAGTCCTTGGCTCGTCAGTCCCCTTGTGGGTGCAATCCGCCCCCTTCTGCAGACAGGCCCTGCAAGGCCGGCCATTATCGCACTTGATTCTTTTGGCACGACACCAATCGCAGGCCCGGGAGACTTGCTTGCGCGTTGGTTTGAGCGGCAAGGTCGGAGTCTCGGGGAGAGACCCACCGTCCATCACCCGCGCTGGGGAATGGGGAGCGAAAGTGGGCATCATGATGAAACTGCGATGCGAGCGTGCAAGGTGCGTATATTTAATGACAAGGTAAAATTGATGATCCTGTAGCTGCGTCAAGCCTTTGCCATGAGAATTAGAAGGGAGAGTCGGAGTCTGGGCGAGAGGTGGTGAGGCTTTGTGGACGTTCAAGCCGGAGTTCCGGAGGCGAGGGTTCCGTGATTCCGACATTCCGCAAACTGGTTCTCTAGATTCCAGGATCGACGACAGGGGATTGGTAAGACTATTTTACATACGAATGGAACGCGACGTGGTGACGAAATCCTCCGCTTAGTCACAGACTGATCAGCGGACTGGTAGGTGATGATGATGAAATTATTATTGATTCATTTTTATTAAAAGCAACGGCGAAGCTACTCATTAATGGACTAAAGATCATGCATCCACTCATCACAGTATTGCAGGCTCTCCCATCTAATCAACACTTCCCTCCTAGACTAAGCTGGGAATCTCATCCACGGTGCGCTCTCCGCGCAGGATGCCATTGACAGCTGTGAACAGGGGGTAGTTGGATTCCAAGCCTCTTTTCTTCAAGAAGCTGTTTACCTCATAGGCGGTCGAGGTACCCTGGAGCATCTGGCCATTGAGGTCCTCATGCTCGACCTCCTGCACGGTCATGCCCTTCTCGACTGCCTTCCTGGCGCAGCGGAAGTTACGTCCTCCGGAGCACGAGGTGATGAGATCGGCGACACCGGCAGACGACTCGGTGAAGGTTGCAGTCTGCACCGTCTCGCCGAAGAACTCCTTGCCGAACTTGACCATCTCCATGAGCCCGATTCGCATGATTGCGGCCTTGGCATTGTCACCCCAGCCACGACCGTCAACAAAACCGGCGGCGAGGGCGACAATGTTCTTCAGCGCACCGCCTAGCGACACACCAGCAACATCCGATACCATCTGTACATGGAAGTAAGGTCTGTGGAACAGCACACTGAAGCAATCATGATCGAGGGGTGGGTACTCGGCCGGGACCGGGGTCAGCTTGGTCTTTGATGCTCGCCCACGGGCGTCGCGGTGGCCAGCTTCGGCGAGGGATGTGATGGAAATGTTGGGGCTCGACGACCGAGGTGTTGGGGCCCTGCTGTTGTCCATTGGAGGTGGGTCGTATGCAATGGTTGTCTCGGACCATTTCTCGTTTGCGATTTCGGTCGCAATGTTGGCACCACTGAGGGCGCCGCAGTAGATGCCGAGCCCGTCGCCGATCCACTCGCTGAACAGGCTGATGCCCTCGTCGGAGACGTTCACGCCCTTGACGCAGCTGATTCCACGTGCGTATGGCAGGATATGCCCGCGGATCTCTTTGCAGGCGTTGTTGATAAACTGGTGGGGCAGATTGAAAACGAGGATTGTAGAGTCCTTGACGGCGTCCCTCAGGGAGGGGTTGGCGATCACATTGGAGGGAAGTGCGATGCCAGGCAGGTACTTTACGTTCTCATGGTGCTTGTTGATGATTGACGTGAGCTTCTGAGGCTTGTCGCCAACGGTCTCGTCGTAAAATTTAGAGTCCTTGGGGATGGTGACCTCCTCTTCATATACCCACATCTGGACATCTTCCTCGAAGATGGTGTTGTTCGCCCGGGTGTTCTCAGCGACAATCTTGGAGATGGTCGAACCCCTAGGAGAGACGATGGTCAGTTAAGCTCTAGCTCAAGAGTTTGAGGGGAAGGGCTGGCTTGGCGCCTACCAATTGCCGGATCCCACTACGGTCACCTTGTGCTTCTTCTCATGGCCACCCAATAGAGCTGTGTTAGCCATTGTGCGAGCTGTGATGTGCCTGGGGCAGTGTCTCGCGATGTGAAGTGAAGAGAACCTGAAGCTAGCTGGGTGCCGTGCGAGGAGGCTGTGTAACATCAAGATGGACGAAGGGGTATGATATCTGTTGAGGAGGGGTGAGGACGGTTAGCTTCATAAGTAGCTGCAAGCTCCCGTGATGGTGGTCCATGACGCACTGGCGCCGCGGCAGAAAAGATGTTTCCAACGTGACCGCCTGCCGTAACCGGACCAGACCCCAACAAACCGCCGGGCAACAGCGCCAAGGTCCCTGCCCAGGCACCGCCGTAACCCGCTGTAACCCCTACCAATCCAGCCCAATCCCTTACGAATCCCTCGAGAGCACTACGGACTCGCCGGTCTTGGCCGAGGGCAATCACATGCGCGCCGTGCCCGTAGCTGCATTTCGCTGCAGAGCCCACAGACCCCTTGGCCAAGAAAGCTTGGTCTTGAGATTTTCAGGGTGCTGTCACATGTGTTTAACGTGATCTTCATGCGCATCGGGATTCACCGCAGCAGCCACAGTCGCATTCCAGGCCCAGTTAGTAGCCACATCGGCCGGCCTTTAATCTACGCCTTCCGAGGTGCGGTGCCTGGAGGCAGGGACCTGATCGTCGCGAGCCGAGTTTCGGGGTCTAAGTTTATTTTCTATCGACATCCGATTACGTAGTAAAAGTCAATTCTGCGCTTGTTGTTACATGTGATTTCTCTGTGCTTCTATCCCGTCACCCCAGTAAGGGTCTTCTTTCAGCCGCAAACACCCCTGCTCTCGTCTTGCCTGGTTCCATCGTCCGCTCACCGTCGCCAAACAGGGGTTTGAACACGCAGTCGTACGCGCCCCAGATGGCATTGAAGATGAAGCTCATGCCGGCGGCCAGTACTGCCGGGAACTTGCCGTTCTCGTCAGCAAAGAACCGTCCGATCGTGACCATCGCGAGGAAGGCGGGCCCTCCAATGCTGAGAAGCAGGACCTGGCCGACCATCTGCCTCCAGGAGGTGATTTGGTACGACTGGAGAGAGTTGAGATATCTCTGATACACCTCCGGGAGCTCATGCTCCCGCGCGCCGTCCCTGAGCAGGTTGAGATACCGTTCGCTAGCCTGGGCACCGCTGCCTGATCGGTTGGGGCGCGAGAACAGCCGCTGCCACCACTTGCGCTTGACTGGGACGTCCTCAGGCAGGGACGGGCAGTAGAGGGTTCTCGCGACGAAAGGCTTGGGCAACTTGTCGAACGGCGGCCTCTCGGGGATCCGGACACCAGCCGGGAGCGGGATGCAGGGGACGTAAATCTCCTTGTAGCTGGTGCCTCCGCCCTCGGTTCGCATGATATCGCGATAGTCTGACCTGGTAACCTCATACACGACGCCCATCAGCCCACCATCCCACTCGGGGAGCGGTAGCGGCGGGGTGGGAAGTATCGGCTTCTCGGGCATTTTTCTAAAGTCTACATTGGCGAAGCAAGGTTCCCTATAGGGAATACCGGGGAGGTCGAAGGTCAGACGGAGCGTCGGGACTGAGACATTGACCTGTGACAGTGGCCGGATGCCTCGCATGCCCTGGAAGGTCTGCGCCGCCATGTTCGACCCGTAGGCCAGGTACAGGATCGTGTCCGGCTTGGCCCCCTCGTCCGCGTCCTGACGATCAGCGGCTTCTGCAGCGAGCCGCTCCGGGGACGTCTGCGGTACGTGCTGCTTATGATCCGGTGTGGACCCTGTTCCAAAGGGACGGGTGTCAGCCGTCGCCGGTGGCGATCTGGAGGGGGTCGACCGTTGTACCGTCATAGCTGCCGTCAGAAGTGTCAGCAAACGGTCCGGATCCGTACACAGCGCCTATACTTACCGCCAATGGGATGAGGATGTTGCTGAAGCAGGGAACAATGAAAGTTGACGCAATCCTGATCTACAATGGCGCAACTGACATTTATATCCCCCTATTTGTCCATTTCAGGCAACAAACGGTAACGAGGTTGCGGAGTTATCGTCAACCGGAGACTCCACCGATTTGTCAGCAGCATCACATCCGTAACAAATGCTCGGCCTTCGCACACTCGAGACGTGCGAAGCAACGAAAGCCGTTGCTGTGTTTTACTTATTGAACGATTCTCATTCTGGACAGTTATTAAGGCTAAATTGGCCTAAAAACAGGCACTTGATTTTTCATTCCGCAACATCAGTTCGAGAATCTGCGCTGCCTTATTCATCAACACGGGAGGCTTCATAAGCGGCCCGGCATTGGCATTTAGCCCGACTGATTAATTCCGCAAGTCCGCAAACTCGGAGACGGTTTGTTTCACGGCTTGTGTCAATGCCGTCGGCTTTTTTACTAGCCCGCACCGCAAAGATACTTTCTTCAAGCTTCATCTCAGCATTGATACCATTCAACTCATTTTCTCCAGAGTTGGCTGTAGATCCTTTAATCCAGACTGCAATAGTGCAACGCCTTGTCTCTCATTTGCTGACTTAGTTCTACCGCCTGCAGATAACTAACTTACTTTACACTCTAGGTAAATGTTGGAAATGGAATCCAAGATTATTCCACTTGAGCCCACTGCTCTTTCAGCATGCTCACTGTGCTCCAGCTCGACTCATCCGCTGCCATGCGTGACGCCTCCTTTGCCTGTTTATGGTGTGTATGGCCTGACAACAAGTATTCATTGGCGTGGCCATATCCGGCATACGAGTTCCCAACTGTGTAGGTATTTCCAACTATATTGTGCACATAATGTCCAAGGTTGTTGTAGAAAGTGGATTCTTGCCGGTGCATGTCCGCTTGAAAGGCAGCCTGCTGGAGATTCAGCTCCATCCGGTGAATAACAGGGACTGTAGCGGACCAGACGTCACGCCTTTGGCTCGCTCTGGCTAGAAGTCCGTCAAGATCCCCTGCCGCGCAAGCCTCCGAGTAGAGCTTTCTCATCCGGGGAGAGTATAGATCGCACATCTTACCCACGGGGTCTAGACTCCCTTTGAGGAGATATCTGCCTTCGAGGCTTGTCCCTTTCGCGAAGTCGATGTAACAGTTCTCGCATATGGTGAGGTTGTCCCAGCCCCAAAATTTCCCGCCCTTCCCACTCGTGGGCCGGTCTTTCGGACAAACGAGGACGGTTCCGTATTTCGTAACGTAATCTTCAAGACATTTGATGTCTCCAATGGCTATGGACCGAGAGAAATTAATTAAATAATCCGTGAACCGGCCATGGCCACGATTGAAAGAGCACAGGGTCTTCTGCGAGGAGTGGCCCGTGGAAATGAAGTGGTGTCCGAGCCCAGTTGGTTCTACCAAGGAAGCATAGCAGGAACCGCAGACGGAAAACCCCGGGAGTCTTTGGCCAAGTTCGTACCAATTTCCTCCCACAATGCCTTGGTCGGTACACGGAGGTTGGCTTCTCATGCCGCTCACAGCCTTCCAGAAGATGCTCAGGTTGCCTTTGTCGGCAGCGGATACCACAGTAAACTGCAAGAAGGAGTTCCCAATGTCGCAATAGACATAATCCCAAGATTCAGCGGCCTTTTCAAAGACCGTCTCATCGGGCTTGCCCACAAAGAAGTCCATATAACAACCAGCACAAATCTTGAGGCTCGGGTGAGAGTGACCTTGGCGAGTCTGCATCCACAGACGTCCTACTGCCGGGGCAGGTTCTCTAAGTGGGCATGCTCCCATTGAGAGTCGGGCGGAAATATCTGAAACAAAGGATTGCCAGCTCCCAGTCTCTTTATATTTCTCAAACGTACTGGCGATAAATCTCATGCTCATATCACAATACGCGGCGGCTGTAGTTTGGAGCGTGAACTTTTCTCGAAACAGGGGTCTTATGTTTGTATCCTCAACGCAGGCTCGACACAATGTCATTCCTTGCAGGTCTTGGCTGACATACCAGCTTTCCCCCTCGAGCTGCTTCGTCAACTGGCAATTGGGGATGGCGGACCTCTTTTTCATGAACTCGATCACTGGGTCGAGCTCACCAGAGGATACGGCGGTGGCCCATATTGTTTTCATGCGGGCGGATCCAAATTGACACTGATCCTCTCTCGCTGCCTCGAGACGGGTCTTTTCAAATAGCTGCTGGAATTGAGTGTTATAGATGTGCTGGGTGTAGCAGTAGCTGCAAATATGAAATGACGGGATCGAAGGATAATGGAACCAGTCCAGATCGAGGCCAACGGCGTATTTGGCACATTGAGTTAGAGGAACAACCCCCGATGGATGAAGCCGACTTGAACCTGATATCTTAAGCTCTGTATGAACAGGCTTAGACGTCTGTTCGGTTCTTTGAGGGGATTCAGCTGGCTTGGAAGTGGCTGGAGGCTTCCAGTTGGGCGGTGGTCCTGGGGGAGGTGCATAGTCAATGTCCTCCCGAACCGCCGGCTGATTTCCTCCGAGACCAAGATTCTGGAACTGGCCTTCGACTTGACGGCGGTTCTTGTTAGGTTATCCATAAAGGCCATATGAAAGGTGCTCGGTCGATGAGCGGATTATTACTCACGTTCATTCCCACCGGATGGATTTTGGGAGTTGCTAGAAGCCATGATATATATATACTGATGATAGAAATAAATTAATCATGAGGAAGGTTCAGAGGCGAAAGGCCGGGACAACGCAGAACTTCAGAATTCAACATAATGGGAGCGTTCCCAAGTGGGCCACTGGAGGCACGCGACATTCTGCCTTGCCACAAGCCCTGTTTATGCATAAATGCCAAAGGCTGACAATTGAAAAAGGATTGGCCGACTGTTTAGCGAGAGGATCCGGGACTATTCCCACATCGTGAACGGCTGAGGGTCGGAAGGATTCCGTTGGGCGGAAAGCAGAGCCCACAGCGAACAGCACTTAGCGAGAAGAAATCTTGGCAACCAAAAGCCATCAGATTATCGATTATCTGATGGCTCGAATTGGCTATGAGATGCTACATCCCTGTTTGTAACGAACTTATGCGGGGAACGAAGAGAGAATGTGGGGAGTGCATGATGGGTACAGTGTGACACAATAAAAGCAGCGAGATTTGGTGAAGATGTCATGCGTCTCCATAATAGGAAAGAAACTTGTTCGGCGTCGGTGGTTGAATAGGTGATGCTTTTACTAGATACGTTTGGTGTGAGAAGCTTCATTCTAACTTCTATGTGCTTCCTGGAAAATTATGCCTGAACGATGGGTGTACTTGCTTGCCAACTGCGCGAAGCTCAGCAATCAGCTACCGAGGTGCTTCGCCCGAAAGCATTACCTGGACTGAGAATGAGCTGGAGGTCCGAACATTGCGTTGCGATTATGAAATATCTTCAATTCTCAATCATGGGCGGGAAATGAAACGAGTTCTAAGTACCTATCTGTTATTCATCATCATTGAGCTGCGCGAGATGGAAACTAAGCTGCACCATTGGAGTTCACTTGCTCCTTCCCTCAGCCGGTGCTCCTTCCTGGCCACCATTCGCTGTAAACGCGCTCCTTCCCCAAAGGACATTTACAAACTGCAGCCCCAAAGAGAAGATGCCTGAGGTATCTTCTTCAGCAGCCCAGCCAGACAAGACAATCTTTGAGCGTACACTTGCCCATGATATAATGTTCATACACTTGAGATAGATGTTTCGCGTACGTCGATTTGAACAGCACGTTTCTGTACTTCTTTGTTATCCTCTGCCTTTTCTGCCTCCCCTCATTCGCGGTGCTACGCCATGCCTCGACGAGGCCGTTCAAGCGCAAAAAGCCTTCAGCGGGAACCATCTGTTGTCCTTGGTCAGCTAGACACCACCCCAACGAGCCATCATGCCGAAACATTGAGCAACTTTACCGATCCCCAGGAGTTCTTTGAGAATGCGATCGCCGACGAGGACCTTTTGGCTCTTGATGATCTGCTGGCACCGAACAAAGCACAGCATAGGGAAAAATCGTTCACGTGGTCAGAAGCAGGGTCAACACGCCGCAGTTCGCCACTCCATGGCGAGGTACCCAACGACGTCTGGGAATTCAATGCTGAAGATTCTCTCCCGGCAATGTCTAGCCCAAAGTCCGGAATTGATAAGCTTCCAGCGACTTTTCCTCTCCCTCCCCAGGACCACATCGAGCCAAATGGCATTCAACCAATCGAAAAGCCAGCTCACAAAGTTGATTTCTCTGAAACTGCTTCAACTGCCCGTAGAAGCACCCCGTTCGGCCTCGATGAAGTATCTTCTCTAGGTCCCTGGGAGTTTGAAACTCCGTCGGTGAAACAGACTTCCTTTGCAGCTCATGACAAGCAGGGAGCTGGTTCGTCCAGGCTCCCAGACAAACTTGCAGCAGTAATACCTTCAGAGGTGCGAACGAACAAAAAAGACACGATACGTTCATCCAAACAGAAAATTACCAATTCCTTGACCAAGTCAACCGATATTGATGATGTCGTTCTGAAGACATCCCCAACACTGCTTCCTGAACGTGCCCCAGTTGACCAAGCGAAACTACAAAGTAATGCTTTCAATCTTATCAGGTTGGATCTTGAATCCGAAGAAGACATGATATTTCCCTCTTCTCCGCAGATTTCAACGACGGAGGTACAAGCAAACCCTTCTGCCGAACCATCCACAACTGAGGTTCACAAATCAAGGAAAAGAAAACAGCGAGCAAAGTCCCCAGTGAAGTTTGATGAACATACTCAACAAGTAAAGGCCTCGAAACGAAAACCACCGCAGACTGCGCCTAAGGGGAAACGCAAACGAGCGGCTCCTCCAGTAGCCACCAAAGAGCCTGCAAAGAAAAAGCCTAAGATCGGATCCCAGCCGAAGGCGAGCGTATCAATTTCGCGAACGCCTGTGACAAGCATAGTTCATGAATCTCCGAAAGTTACCGAAAAGGAAAAGGTTATCGCCGTGGGAAAGTCGGCCAGTCCAAGTCGACTACCTGAACCTTCGCCAGCCATTTCAAAGAGCAAAACAGACCCGATTGTCCTGTCGAGTGATCTTGAGAGTAGCGAGTTCATTCCAACTTCTCCATCATCCCCCTTATCATCATTTGAGAAGCAAGATCACCCACAGAAAGGGGGAAACAAGCCCCAATCCGGACTTCAAATCTCAAAGAGCAACTCAGAGTCTTTAGAACTACCGCAAGCGCCAGAGATCGAGCCTCTATCCGGAGAGGATATTTTACCAGATCTTTCAAACGCAAGTATCGACTCATTGACTCACCAGATTTCTACCAACCCGAGACCAATAGAGAAAGTCGAGGAGGCCGGGAATGACAATAGTCCCAAAATTCCAGGGCCTGAAGCGGTCAAATACCATCCTTCTCGGTATGCTTTCCAGAATGAGGATATTCCTAACCCTACGGTAATTGAACCAAAATCAAAATCACCCGAGCCGCTCCCTGCAAGGAACAAGACCCCATACAACAATCCTATTGATGAAAATTCAAAGGGAACGCCTGCTCGGGCTAAGAACCATACCATTGCTATCTCTCTTTTAGACGAGAGGCTTGGAGAGAAAAAGGATAAGAGGCGAACCAAAACTTCTCGACCAAAATTTGTTGTTAAATCGAGCTTTAACCATGGTACGTTCACGCATTCGATGTCTCCGGCGGAGGAGACCCAGCGTGGTCCGAATAGCCGTTCGAAGATAGACAATGTTCGCTCAAGGATCAACAATAACCGTTCGGGGATTGATTTGAACCTGAATCAAAGTCGAACGCTCAGCATCAGTGAAGCAGGCAGTCCCGTACGCCTTGATTCCCAAGTTGGCGAAAGTAGGGAGTCCCGTTATCCTCTACCAAACGAACTGGAATTCAGAGATTTGGACATGACATCCCGATTTCCGCCACTTCAATCAAAAATTGGGAAAATACGGACTGGCAAGACAGAGAATAAACCCCATATATCCCGTGATATCACGAACTCAGTCTCAAATTTGGGAAACTGTCCGAATGCAATGGACACATCGAGGAATCATACAGCCAGAGATGATACCCAGCATCTTCCTGTACATGCCGAGGCGCCGAGTAATGAGAGCGATTCACCTCGACTTCAAGAAATACGGGGGAAGATCAAAGCCCAGATGGAGGCAAATTTTGAAGAACAGGCAGCGAATAGGAACCGACCCGCGGCACAGCGCCAAAACACTGATACCTGTCGCAGCGACCTTCCAGAAGCACAGTCCAACACTTGTTCGCCATTGGCGACGGGAAGCATCCCGAAAAGATTACATCGCATTGTGGAGGTAAGTGCGCAGCGCAAGCGAGTGTATTTTCGAACCAAGGCTAACACAGTGATGGTAGCTTGTCTCAGAACGACTTTCCGAAGCCGAAAGAAAGGTAGACCATGTGCCTTCAGCATACATGAACGGCATGTCTGGGGCTTTGCGCGGAATCGAGCGACGGTTCAACCGAGAGCGTCGCGAGCTAGAACGAAACTGGGCCCGCGACATCGAATCTTTCAAAGAGAATGTGACAATTGCCAGAGATAAGGTTACCACGGTACAGGAGGAGCGAGATATAATAGTCTCGTCTCTCGAGGAAGAGGAGGCGAAACGACATCTCTTGTATTCTCGCGCAAGTACTAACCTACTAGCACTCAATCGCACGTTACTCAACAGTGCAGCGGCGGAGTCCTCAGGAACTCGATAGCTTAAATTGCTTGGACTCGAGTAAACACTGGCCTATGCTTACTCCTGCGCAAGCAGATATTACCTATTAAGAGGTTGTGGCATAACTACAATGTGAGCAAGAATACTACTTGTCAGAGGACTAAGGACGAAAACTATGAGGGATTTGGGATGGCGATGCTGAGTTGGTCAAAATCACTGTAATGAGCTGGAAATTAGAGTTACCTGCATAATTGAATCTCAACAGCCTGGAATGCATCGCAACTTATAAACGCCGTCGCGAGCGCCACTCGTAGGCCGTTGTCAATAGCTCCTATCATCACTTTGAAATGGCTATGAAGCATATAGGCGGTGGGAACGAGTATTTGGACAGGTGTAAGTGCGTGAGGGCGATGTCGAGTGAAGATTGCCTCATTTCCTCATCTTTGCCGCAGCGCAGTGCAGCTTGGGGCCTACGCGGGAGAATTCAGCTGAATGATGACGATGATTGCACGCCCTAGAGTGCAGCCGAAAAGACGATCCAATCCGGACTGGTGGACGATGGAAACGATCCGTTCCAGATGGCGGGCTGCGTCGTGACGTATGCATGTCTGGCAGCGTCGAATGATATGGGGCATTGCTGTCAAGCGTCGCATTGGCTGGGCTAGCACAAGGTTTTCGGCATCAGAGTTAATGGTACGAGATCAGGAGATGTACCTGCGCGTGGCGGGATGATGAGAGGAACCCGAGACACTTCAGGCATGGCGGGACCTGAGGAGAATCAAGATAAACAGCGGCGGTGCCTCGCCAGGTCCGCATCTCCAGAATTCCTGCATCTCCATCCTAAATATATGTGTTTCCCCCGGCAGGCTCACCCATCCTCATCCTCCCCAGGATTTCCATCGCACATCAGTGCCTGCCATCAGCAGCGTGGCCGTGGGGGAAACCCACCCGAATATTGGTGCCGACGAGGTACCAAGTACCTCCCAATTGTCACCCATCTCTCACCTCGTCCTCAGGCGAGCACCGTCGGGCAGCATGCCAAGTGCCTCACCTCCGATGTACATGACCAGCGGCAGCGAAGGAAGCAGCCGAAAGGCCTCGTCACCCACGGGCAGGTAAGTCGTCATGTTTCCCGCTATTCTTCTTGTGCCCGATCGATATCAATCCATGGTCGCCTGCCCTACATCGCTGCACAGACACCTTTTCCCCTGCTAAGTAGCGAGTCGTGCCCCTGCAACCACGGTTTTGTGGGCATTCAATCCCAAAGGGACTGCTGGGGTGGCCGCTGGGGCTTAGAGTTCTAGCCGTCTGCTAGGCAGAAGCCGCGCTGAAATCCCCCCTGAAAAGCACCAATCAGGCCCCCTGCAGGACAGTTAGGGGGCCTCGCTGCTGTTTCGGCGCACGTCACCCTTGAGGCTTGCGAGCCACCAGCCCACTCCCACAGGCCACCACCTCAGATCAATCGCTCCACCGTGGGATTTCGGCGGTTCCATTCGAGGAGACTGATGAGACTGAAGAAAAAAAAAACCATCTCGCTCGGGAACCCCAGGTTCGGGAAGCACCAAAACTTCTTGCACCCTTCGCCCAAGCAAGCACACTCTCCTCGTCTCAACACACATCACCTCCCTGTCACCGCTGTCGATACCCCTCCACATCCCGCCTGCAGGGTCTGCGAAAGCCTCGGGGCCACTGTCAGCTGCATTGTGGCTGTCGCATAAGCGGTTCCCTGGTGTTTGGCGCTTAGCATTCCCTCTGCCCTCAAACGACGTGATACCTTCACTTACCTTGCACCCCCGCTTTTCGTTACATCCCTGTGTTTCCTGTGTCTCAACACTTTATCCAGCCCCCCGTCCGATTTCGGTTCTTGTTCACCTATCGTCTTCACCTACTTACGTCTCACGCTCGGTTAATCCAGTCGCCTCTCGGGTTTCTCAATCTTCCGGAAACAACGACAGAACAGCGCCAGCTCGTCAGGCACATCGATATCCGAAGGTTCAGAAAGCAAAGAATACTACAATCCCGAGAAGCATAACTGGCGGCACATTAGCATCTACAAGATGCCTTTCCGTCAACACCTGGCCCGTCATTTTGGCGATGCGGTATGCGCTTGTTCCACCTTTCCACATTGCCGAGTGCCAACTCGGTGAGAAGAGCCCTAGCTAATCGCATGCATTCAATAGCTTGCACCCGAGAAATCCTACCTTAGCTACTACGACGTCCTCCTCACCGGCGAGGATATCAAGTCACTGAAGAATGACTGGTTGACCGACAACAACATCGCATTCTGGGAGGAGTATCTCGAACGCGAGACTCTCCCCCGGTACCCCCAGGCCCGAATCATCCTCCTCCGCCCCAGTATGACCTTCCTCCTCATGAGAGAGCCCGATATGCGCCAGATCCGCTCTGCGCTGCCCAGCTTCTCCAAGGTCACGCACATCTTCCTACCGATCAACGACAATCGCAACGTCAGTGTCGCCGAAGGTGGTAGCCATTGGTCACTCCTGCTCGTCTCGGCTCTTGATGGAGTGGCGTTCCACTACGACTCCCTCGGCGGCGCAAACTACTCCGAAGCACGCCTCGCCACGCGCAAGATGAGCGAGATCCTCGGGCGACCGCTGCGATTCGTAAATTTAGAAGACTGCCCACAACAAGAGAACGGAAGCGACTGCGGGGTCTTCGTCTGCTTGTTAATGCGACATTTACTCGTCAAACGCCTGCTCAGTGCCCCCGCGAGGGAGAAGGTTTCTATGAGCATGGGCGGCAAGATGGTTGATAGCAATGGCGGTCGGAAAGAAATGCTCCACATCATTGAGAATCTTCGAAAGGAGGGTGTGCGGCGACGATCGTAAGGACATTCCACAATTCCCCGTATTCACATGACGCAGCTAATCCTCAACCCAGGCGAAGTGCTAGTCCTTTTTCATCATCCAAGACGCCACCGCGGATCGAGTAGGGTGCGGTACGCTTCAGCATCTACCAGGACGACGTCAAACAGCATTCCGATCAGTCGTCAAGGCCTCAACGAGACCTGGGGAGTAAACATTCGAGTAATTGTGCAGTTGATGGAAGCCCCACGGACCAGTCTTCACCCTCTTCGCAGTCTTCCTCTCCGAGCTCAAAGTTAAGACCAAGACGGAGACCAAAGCTGATTACATACGGGACCAAAGGGCCCAACGTGGCCAAAGGAGCCAGTAGGACCAACCAGCGTCTCTCAGGGTCAAGTCAGCGACCGCGTGACGTTCCCAGTGGACAGCGGTTTGCCAAGGCCGTTTCGAGAACGGGCCAAACTCTGGCGACCAATACCTGAGCGCCTGCCAGAGCCTACTCCGAGGCAACACCTAGTCAATCAACCATGAGGCGTGAAGGCAAACCTACTCTTCCAGCCGATTGGGTCAACCAACTGTTCTGGGGCCGCACCTAGGCGATGTAACTTGCCCATGATATAATTCTTCTTCTTCATTTTCATGTCTTTATTTCATTGTTCCTTTTTTCGTTCCTTAGCATGAAGCGATTGATTTTATGGTTTACGGCGTCTACGAAGTTTATGGACACGAGCATCGAGCAGACAAAGAGCGTAAGAGCCAAAGACACTAAATTTTCTGATGCACTTTTCCTGTGTCGTTCTCATTATGGCAATTATTTTACACTTTCTATCTTGCAGGGTCAAGAAAACAGTCGGATAATGGTTCTTGTTCACACGGGGTTATATTCGTGAGTTCACGGCGTCATAACCGAAGACGAGGGTTATCAGAAGAAGAGAGTAGAATGATTTCTTTTTCTCAGGGTGGCTTTCTTTTCCGCGTTCTCGTTTTTATTCTCAAGCACATGATTTCAGTATTTTTAAATTTCAACCAGGCTCTGACTACCGAACCTATTGTCCTATGAACTGCCCAGACTCCTAGAACTCCGTGTGCGAATGCAGTGCAATGTCTTTCAACTAAGGCTACCAAACCGGTGCCATGGGACTTTTAGACTCCTGTCCTGAAGAGGATGCTTCGTCAAACTCATGTAAACCCAGGCCCTAGCCCGCTACTTGTTCAAGAACGCCGGGTTTTGCTCCATCGTGGTGGAGATGTACCCTCGCAGCGCCGCCCACCTATTGCTCGTACTCGCAGCTGGCGCAGGCGCAGGTGCCTCGTCCATCTTCTCATCCGCCTGCTTCTGCTGCTGCGGCGCCGCCTGGTCCGCAGGCAGATCTGCCAACCGGGCCATGCTCGCCCCGAACCTCTCCATCTCGCCCTTGACGATCCTCTCCTTCCTCTTCAGGGCGCCCTTCCTCGTCCGCAGGCTCTTGTGCTGCACCTTCCCCCTGTTCGCCGCGGCGCCCTCTTCAATCTCCGGCAGCGCGTCGGCGAGTGCGTCGAGGTCGGCGGCGAGCTTGTTCCCCGGGCGGCGAGTCCGCTTCTTCTTGCCCACGCGGGCGTCGGCGGTGGAGTGGATGCGGGAGACGAAGGAGGAGTGCTTGATCTGGCGCTTGTCGCGCTTCGAGGAGAGGAAGGAGTCGTCGGTCAGGGTGCCCTCCCTGTGCGTCTTCATGGGGGCGAGGGGGTGGATCTGGCCGGTTATGCGCTGCATGCGGAGGGCGCGCGCCGAGGGCTTCTTTTCTGAGGGCGGTGGGCGGGGAGCCTGTTGGAAGGTCAGGTTACGATGCTTTCTGAAGAGAAGGAGGCGGTTTCTGGTAGCTTACCATGATTTCTGATTATTAGGAGTGTTTGAGAGTAATGCGGACTTGTGAACTCGAGTTCTGGGGTGGTCAATTGTATTTTGTTCGAGTGAGCGGTGGGCTAGAGCTTGACCAGGGACCGAAAAAAAAGAATGGGAATATTCTCGGTGAGTAATGACCTCACCGAGATGATGGTGGGGCACACCGAGAACTTTCATGGAGGGGCAATTCTTGTCAAGTCGACACCAACATTCATCTTCAAAAGTACCAAGCACAGCTCTTTGAACTCCGTCAAAAAGTATTTACGCGTTAAAATTGGATACTTGTAAGAAGGGATTTGTTCAAAGTTATACTCTTACCAGGATTTTCGGCCATTCTGTGCCTTTTATACTGATTCAACGCCAAACCAGAGATCGTGACTCCTCTTACATGGAGAGAATAGATCACCTCCGCAGGGAGATAGCCCTGCGGGAGTCAGAGCTGGCAGATTTAAGATCACAACTCGCCGTTGCGGAATCGGAACATCGTGCTCATCAAGATGATGGATCGTCGGGTTGGAAATGGCCGTTGGCACAGCATGAGTACGACCGCTATAGTCGGCAGATGATCGTGCCGAAACTTGGTCTTGAGAGTCAGCAACTTGCCCCCATTTCCCACTTATCCTCCCTAAATAGTTAAAAGCAAAATTAACGTTTATGCAGGCCAGCTCAAATTGAAGAACTCGAGAGTTCTAGTGATTGGCGCAGGTGGCTTGGGCTGTCCGGCCTCAGCCTACCTAGCCGGGGCTGGCGTTGGGGCTCTAGGCTTGGTAGACGGAGATACTGTCGAGGTCTCCAATCTCCACCGACAGATTGCACATTCTACGAGTCGCGTGGGCATGAGCAAGGTGGAAAGTGCCATTACCTATCTGCAAGAGTGAGTACTGAAGGTCAGAAGACCTCATCCTACCGCTCTCCCTCTGAGTATCCAAACTCCGTTCCCTTGAAACAATAACTGACAACTCGACCTAGGCTGAACCCTACCATCAAATACCACGCCCACCAGACACATCTCACTACTGAAAATGCTCAAGGCATCGTCTCGCAGTACGACTTCGTTCTTGACTGCACCGATCATCCCACCTCTCGTTATCTCATCTCCGACATCTGCACCCTCCTATCCAAGCCACTCATCTCAGCCTCCGCTTTCCAGTCTTCCGGTCAGCTGATCGTTTTGAACAACCCGCCTGGTCAAGGACCGTGCTACCGATGCGTCTTTCCCAAGCCTCCCCCACCAGAGAGCGTAGTCGCCTGTGGTGAGGGGGGAATCATAGGACCAGTCGTTGGCGTGATGGGTGTGCTGCAAGCCCTCGAGGCGATCAAAGTGATTACGCAAGAGGTGGAACAGAAAGGCGACGAGAAAAAGAAGACGAATACATTGCTGCTGTTCAGTGCGCTAAGTGACACTCCCTTCCGATCGGTGAGGATGAGAGGACGTCGAAGTGATTGCGTCGCATGCGGTGATGCTTCGGAGCTCACTCTAGAAAAATTGAAGTCGTCGATGGACTATGTCCAATTTTGCGGCGTGAAGGAGCCCGTCAAGCTCTTGAAGCCAGATGAGAGAATCACAGCAGAAGAATATGCGCGCATCGCCAAGGAGCAAAAGGATCATGTTCTCATCGATGTCAGAGAAAAAGAGCAATTTGGCCTTTGCAGCATCCCCGGCTCCATCAACATTCCCATCACGCGCTTCATGAGCCACCGTCCAGAGAAGGGTCAAGTCCCAGAGTGGTTCCCGGAGGCCATCTCTCCCTCTTCGCCGGTGTACCTGGTGTGCCGTGTAGGGAATGACTCGCAGACAGCCGCACAGAAACTGAAAGATATGGGACTTGGCCAGGACGGAGAGCGGTTCATCGGCGACATCAGTGGTGGACTATCGGCGTGGAGAAACGCAATCGACCCATCAATACCGTTCATATGACCGTAGGGTCCTCAAACAACAAAGGAGGATGGAAATGTGGCAGGAGACGCGGGAACCGATAAGCGAAAGTGGGAGGATTTAAGAGTAGAACCGTCTTTTGTTAAGTACATGATGACATATCCGCCACAGAGCCGAGTGTTTTGTTGCTACATCGAGGGGGGGACTTGAATGCCTGTAATTGCGCCAGCCCCAAAAAGAAAATGGAATCATGATGGGAAAAGGAAACCATAGATACACGGGCACAACCACATATACAGTATGTGATCGAGCCGGCAGAGGAGGGCAAGATGGCCCGGTTTTACACGAAGTTGGCCGTCTTCTTCTTGTTGAAGGCACGCTGATCCTTCAGCCATCGTCGGTAACCCTGAACACTCTGAATCTTTTCACCGTAGAAGTCGGGCACTGCAAAAGAGAGATAATTAGCCACGAGAGAATAAAATACGACAGTAACAGCGCCCGTAGCACGTACCTGGGTTGGAAGCGCTCGAGTTGGTGGGGTCAACCCGGTTCTTCCTTATCCTTGCCAAGAATTGATCCTCCTTCTTGTGAATCTGGGACCTGATCTGACGGTTCAGAAGATAGAAAACCTGGTTGCCGATGCTGGGTCCGATGAGCCAGCCCGCACCAGCGAACACAATGGTAAGTCCTCCGAGGGTGAAGAACGGGTCGAGGGGCACCTGGCTGACCAGGGAGTCGGCGATACCCGAGGAGAGGAGACCGGCACCCACGACAAAACCACCAATACCTGTGATAGCGGAGAAGAAGACTTGGATACGGCGACGGCGCAGGCGCAGCTTGAAGAAGGTGTTCCAGTCGAGGGCAGGAACCTTATCGGCGGCGGGGGTGTTCGAGGCCAAGCTGGAGTTGGCACGTGCGAATGGCGCAGCAGGGAAAATCGAGCGGTTCTGCTGGGAGAGACAGATGGGACGAGCAGCGGTGGCGAGCATGGTGGTGGCCCGAGGGCAGCAGCGGCTCGCGAGGGAGCCCGAGAGGCGCATGCCGACGGTCTTGAGCGAGGAGGACATTGTAGCAGAGGTGGTCCCGAGCGCTCGGTGCGATCAATTGAAAACCCAAGAATCGAAGATGAAAATAATAAAAGAAGTGATTGAGTGGAGTTTTGGGATTGTGAGGTTGTTGGAGCAGTGCCTCAGCTGCAAAGTCGTCAAGTTCCAGGTGGTGGTGGTGGTGATCTCATTCTGGATGGAGCTGCGAGCTCAGCTCAAGGGAAAAACATGTCGCGCCTAAGCGTAGCCGCTAAGCGCAAGCGCGGGGCGAGAGTGCCCGAGGTACAGTGTCCGTCCCTCTTCACACGTTGACACCTACCCTGTACCCTCGCCCAATGCCGATTACCACGGCTACCTCCGGCTCAACCGTGCCTTGCCAACTCGTTTCTCCCCCGAAAAGGGCAACTTACATACATATTTATTGTTATTTCATATTATATTGTACATATCAGAATGTTGCGCGCCTCTTTGCCTCGTATTTGTGCTCAGCGCAACCTCGTTGCTTGCTGTCGTCAGTACAGCACCAAGAACACCCCCTCCGATCTCGCTGCTACCCTCCCAGCTTCCATCGATTATCCCAATCCACGATGGTTCTCAGATTTGCAGTCGCGTATCAAGCGTTCAATGACCCCAGAACTTCCCAAGGCCAAATTCGAGGGAGCTGAGAAGTTATTAAAGCATACCGAGCAGCACTGGCTGGGTTTGTTGGCTGGACGTGAAGGATTCATCACCGATTTCGATTATAGAGGTTTGGACCGCCAGCCCATCTTTTGGGGCGATATGGCAAGTATACTTAGACTTAGAAGAACGGACTGATGCCTCAAAAATCTTCTAATCCCATTTCGTTCTGTCGTTAATCGCTGACATCTCGATGCGGTGGGGAATAATAGGACAGCATGGTGAGTGGTCAATGTCTCACAATTGAACTTCTTAATTGGCTTATAAATGACAATTTGTTTAGGGTAATGAATGACTTTTGAGCCATCCCCTCTTAAGTGAAATAAATAATTGAAGACTGACAATCTTGGATATAGGACATGTAAATAATGTAATGTACAATCGCTACGCTGAGTCTGCAAGAGTCAACTTCTTCCGGAACCACGGCAAAGACGCCACCGAAGGTAGAGGGCAATTATGGGATGACCTCCTGACGCCGAGAGGGCTCGGTCTTATACTGAAGAGCATCAAGACGGAGTTTAAATTCGTGAGCGATCCAAAGCTTTCTTGCGCCTCGTCGTCACGGCTAATGAAATCTCCTAGCCAATGACATTTCCCGACAATGTGACGGTCTTGAATCGATTAGTTGAGGCGCCAACAACCGAGACTCATGATCTGATGCTGGAAGTCTGGATAATATCAGAAAAGCACCGTCGGCTCGCTGCGCGGTGCTTGGAGGAGGTTACCGTCTATGATTATCAGGCTGGGAAGAAGGCGACGCTTGCGCCATTCATGGTTGAGAAACTCAACGAGACCTGGGAATTACAGGAGAAATCTAGAGCGCGCTTCAACGAAGAGGCGCAGAGAGTGGCAGAAGCACTGGATACGATTAACAGCTTGAAGTGATCGGGACCTTGAGGGACAGGGTACGAGGTATCAGGCTGACTCAATTGCACCCCCATAGAGGTACGAAGCAAACATCACAGAATGTTATTGATTGAAACCAGATTGAATTACATGAAAACTATCCTAGTCACAGCCTCAGCCAGTGATATGAGCGTGAGCAAACAAACAAGAATTTGTTGGATTAGTTATGGAGATCTGCTCATCTGAGAGAAAGAAAAAAATGAAGAGGGAGGGATACAGAATGTCCTATTTCCTGGATCAAGGGACAAGAAAAAACATGATGGAGCTGAAGTAAGAACATAAAACACCCACTGGACATTCATCTTTCACAAAGCTACCTCAAAGGCGCATCTTCTTGATCGATGAAGCAGGTGCGCCCAAATCCGACCGGGTGGTTGAATGCCGCAAGACTTTCCCCTCAAGCCTGTGGCAAAAATCACTCCTCGCTCGGTTCCGCCTTGATCTAATTGTCCGGACGTGACTGTTCAGCTCTGTGATCCCGGGAGTTCGCAACCGCCGCAAGGGCCCCCTGGATCAATAGCAAAAGTCTCGGCGACCACTCTTGATTCAACCGCTCCACGAAGTGGCGAATTACTCGATAGCATTTGCCTGCTTCGACTGAGATATCATCAGTTATCAGATGATATGCCCGGTAATGGACTGTACCTCCCTCGATAACTGGGTAATGCCCAATTACCCTGGCAATAGTGTCATTGTGGGCGAGCGAGAAAACCACTATGTTGCGGTTTAACAATTCCAGTTGACCAGCAGTGTCGAACAATGTCGTGAGCGCCTGTATGATTGTATCTGCGCTGCGGGTATTCCTGAGCTCGGCAAGATGGAGGCTTTCGTGGCTTGAAGCTACTTCGCATAGAAAGAATGGGAAGTAGACGACGGCAGAGGGTCTCAATGCTGCGAGCCGACCGGATTGGTGGAAATGCTCACTCAGAAGTTGCATGTGTCCCTCAGGGAACGCTCTTTTCTCAAAGCCGGTGATGCTCGGATTTGAACTCTGAACAAGATTCTTCATTTCCGGTCTGGTCGTGGGGGAGTGCAGAATGCGTGGAACCAGCGCTGGCGTGATCAACGCTCGGATCAAACTCGCCGTCGATCCTCTTGCGTGCTGGAAACTGCGCACGTAAAACTCCATGATCTGTCGGTCAATCAGAGGGAGCTGAAAGTCGGTGAGGAGTTGAGCCCATTGCTTGCTCTGCTCACTCAGGTGGAACCTAAGAAACGGAGGACTCGATCCTTCTGGGGCATTCATGATGTTGGGATAATTTTTGTGGAAGGTATTGAATAACCCTTCGTTGAAGAAAATACTGGAATACTTTGTTGCACCCGAAGCGATAGGTAGGGCTGGTTTGAGGGGCGGCCGAGAAGGCCCAGAAGCTTCTTCGTTTCTCTTCTCTGAATGAAGATCTTTAGATTCGTTGGGAGATTTGGGCTCATTCACGAGCTGAATCTTCTCCTTGGTCTCGTCTTCTTCCTTCATTGAGAGCAAGATATGAACTGGATAGTAGAGTTGTAGAGTGGGATTGACCTTAGAAATATCAGAATTGCCTGGGAAAAGCGGCAGTTTTTATAGTGAACTTGAGCAGAGAGAGAGAGAGATTCACTGGGACATGCGTTGGAGGCGAATTTGTGTGAGGAACAAGGAAACAACCGATGTAAACAAAAGCTCTTCAACCGAGATGTAAAGCAGGACGTTGTAGTGCGACATTGACAACCCCCTACACGCCTGACTTGTTTTCAGACATGAATCAGAGAAAGGTAGTGATTTCTAATGTGGTAGGAGGCGATGTCTTGTTTCTTTGAGTGCGCGTTTCATGTATTGGGCAACCAATAGTTAACAATCAAAGCAATTAGCCCATCCAATAGAAGTTTAGAAAACGGCCTGTAGGTAAACATGCTGAAAGTTTAGAGGGAAGGGAATCTTGTTTCCCCCTCGCTGCTTATTGTTTATCAAGAAGAAACTCGATATCGCGAACAAACAATCTACTTCACTGTCCGATGTTGGGAGATGCGACTAGCATTCACATACAGACATGAATTATCTTCATGAGCTTTATCACCGTTACCCAGAACCTAAAGCTTGGTCCCAATCATATAAGTCTGCAAGTAAGCGGAGCCCCTTCGTATTTGGTACGACAGGAGCTAAAGTGAAAGCTCTACGGTACAGTAAACAACCCCCGTCCGACCAACGTGATTTGATTGATCGTTTCTCGTTGTCAAATTCGACCCATTTGCTCAACCCATTGTGTTAAACTGATCCATGGGCCCCGGTTATCCATATTCATTTACCATCATGTGTTAGCCCAATAACCAATGTGGCTCTGTAATGATTGCATAGTATGACCCTTCCTCCCTTTGACGCTAACTAAAACCCTAGTATTCTCTTCCACGTCATGCTCGGTGATAAACCAGTTGTGTTCCTAGCGGTATTTGGAATTCTATTGGCTAGGCAGGAGTGTTGTCCATAGGTAGAAGGGAGCATAAACTCAGGACCTTTGTTACGGCATCACCCCATGAAATCAAGTCATCGAGAAGTGTCCCAAGGTAGAGGAGCCACCGCATCTTTTGCCTTCTGATATTGTAACAAAAAAAAACGAGATTTTACTCAAAGAGGAAAAAACAACATACAACAGCCAGGATTCGCTGGTCGTCACCGACCCAGCTACTAATTGACCCCTTACTAGCTTAACGCTCGGAGATCAAACGGGATCCAGTGCTTTCTAGCAGGTATGGTCGTATGTGATGGAGAGAGGGTGTGATGTGGTTTATATATCGTGGTTGTGGTTTGAGGGTTGGCCGATGAAGCCATCGACAGGTCTCCACCCAAGCCCAAACAGTCCCCATGAGGGAGGAAGATGATTGATTAGCTGAAAAGAAGCTAGCTGTGGAAGCTGTTTTCAGGGCGACAAACGCATTCTATGAAAAGAATTGGTATAAGCGAGTGACTTCGACGTTGGAGCATTGACAGTCCCTGGGTTGATTGCTGAGAGAGATGATATGCTTCAAATGTCGCGTTTATATCATTGGGCGTAACTCTCAGAAGATCAAATAACTTTTTAGAATCTTCTAATGATCCTAAGAGTTTTTCACATCTGTCCCAACTGATATTAGTAGCCAAAATCTTCAGTGACAACATCCAACCCCTCCAACCAAGCAGTGACCTGGCGCATCAGAACTGGCGCAGCGCAAATATAATATCGCACCCCTTCTCGTTTAAAAGATTCAAAATCACCTTCACCTATCCGCCGTTCCGCCGCATGCGCACCCATGGACTTCAGCTTCTCAATCTGGGCAGCCACTGTGGGCGAGCCATTGTCCTTCCCGGTGAGGAACAACCTCGTCGCGCTCGCCAGGCCTGGGATCCTCTCAAAGGAATCAATAGCAAAGTTGGCATCCTCCCTCTTCAAGGTCCAGAAAACCGTTAGGCTCGATCCTCCACCGGCAACGATTGGGCCTGCCTGTGCAAGGATCGGCGTGATCCCAACACCACCAGCCACAAATACAGAAGACGGTTTGCCATCTTTTGAGGATGATGAGGCAGGTACAGGGAGGTGAAACTCCTCTTTGCCCCCAAAGCCCATGACGGGGATCTCAAGCTGTGCGTTGACGTTCTGCCTCCACAGGAATCCCGTCACTGGGCCATTCCTCCTCACTGTGATTTGTAGATTCTCATCCTCCGGTCGGCTCGAGACGGTGAAGGTCCGGATGTAATCGTCGTTGAGGCTCTGAGGGTCGCTGTCGTTCATGTGGCTGTACCCGCCGCTCACCTCGTCATGGAAATCAAACGTCACATGCTGCCCTGCTACCCATTTTGGCTTTGAGGAGAGTCTGAATGTGAAGCGGTTGACGGTCGGTGTGATTGGCTCTTTGTTGATGAGCGTTGCTGATATGGAGGAATTGGAGGCAACCGGTGCGGTGTTCGGAGCTCGTTCGCTGGTCAGATACCGGACTGGTGGGTTATAGGGAGAATGGTCCACCAGGGGCCCTCTGAAGGGGAGGCATTGCCGTATGAACTTGGCATCTGAAACGGTGATTTTGACGGCAACTTGGGTCCTGGCGAGGACGGAGGATGCCTCCTCACCGAACAAGAGGGACGTAGAGCCAGTCAGATACAGCGCATCGCCGGTGTCAAAGTCCGGAATGACGATGCCAACCAGCGGGTTGACTTTCATGTTTCCAAGGGTAGAGTAGAACCGGTTTCCAGAATCTATAGCAATGTCAGATATGTCATCAGTGTCTACGGTAATATCAGACGGCCAGGAAGGGACTTACATTCTGGATAGATGATTTCCACCGCTTTCGAATTGTTGCTTAGAACCCTCACAAATCCTGGCGGACCACCCCGGTGGTTTGTCCCCATCTCCTTTCCGTCGGTGGTAGACAGGAAGAAGAGGTCCGTATTATTTATCAGTTTAATTGCCTCCGAAGGCAGTGGGAGTCCCTCGTGCGCTACCGCCACCTTCTCTCTCACGATGGGACTTGGCGTAATCCGTCTTTTGGCGATGTACTTGGGACAGTTGCCGATAGACTGCGTGATTGCCATCGCCATCTGAATATTCGTCTTGGCCTTGTCTGTAATGGCCCCAGCGATCATCTTGCCTGATATCTTGACTCTGTCCCTCGTCTCCGGCTCAAACGCCAGGCCCGCCATCAGCTTGTTTTCATGCTGGACAACATCACCCTCGCCATGGTCGCCCGGTCCCCATAGAGCCTTGAACACGGGATCTACGTCGGTGGCGACAGAGGTGTTGATGCCCAGAACGTCTTGCTGGATGGGGCGTGAGAAGCCGAGCTGCCCTCCCCAGAGCGTTGTCCACGGTCGGCCATTAGCGTCGAGAGTGCCGACCGCCATGAGCGAAGAATGGTTCACTCGAAGGCCAAATCGTGCGGGGAGTCCATAGTAGGTTGGATTTCTGTGCGGAGGGATCTTGAGCGCCTTCTGGACGGCTGCCTCACCCTGGTGCCATGTTTCTACCTGCGTTGACATTGCTGTGGATAAACCGGATCCTCCGACTGTTGAAGTTAAGGACAGACTCCAATTGATGGGAAGAGTCCGAGATATAGTGCCGGTGAGAATTTAGATCGTGACGTTGATGGAACTATGACATGGCGTGGAATTTGCGGATTACAAAGCTCCAAATTGGTCAAGTTGTCCCATGTCATGTTAAAGGCGTACTGATTCCATCATCCCGCCGCCATCTCTCCGTTTCTCCATTGGTTCGCCGGATCGCCAATTGCTGACCAACCACCGTGGCGTGCTTCATAACCATCCCGAATACCGAAATAGATGCTCTGCCCCAAGATAAACCTTATTTTGACCGAAACCTGATGTGAGGCACATCTCCCAAAAAGGTGGTCAGCAGGCCTTAGATATCAAATTTGTTTATTCATTTTGTAATATTATCACGCTTCTCTTCAGAGGCAGCTTTGCCCGCCCAGATATCTTGTCCATATGGGTGCTTTGTGCCCATAATCCCAAGTCATGCCCCATATCACCAGAGCGCCTATACGTTTCGTTGCATCATGCAGAATAGGCGATCAGTTCGCCTCTGAAATCCCAATATATCGCTTTCATGTCCCGAAAAGAGAGAGTCTATTCCCAGTACCGCCCCAGCCAAAGCGTGGTGTGCTCAAAACACTCAACCTGTCATCCACAACGAACAACTCCTCCTCATCTTGACTGAAACCCCCAGTCGACGTATTTGCATCGTTATTTGTCCCGTCTAGATTGTCGAGTATATCCTCATCTCGCCTGTCGTCATCGTTAGCGCCAGGTGCCTTGCCGTGCTCATCCTCGCCGGCAAAAGCTTCGCTAACATTGCTATATTGCGTCGCCTTGCCCCACGATAATGTGGTCTGTTTCATCTTGCGCTTGGGCGTCTTCTTTTCCTTCGGTTTCCAGGGTTTCAGCTTCCTCTTTCCCATTTTGAACCAGTTCCGTACCAGCTTTGGGGGTAGGTTCTCCTCCGGTTCCCATGATGGGTTCTGATCCTCGGGCCAGTTGCCTTCCCAGCGTACTTTGAAGTACCGAACAATCTCCCCGCTTTCCGCTTCGTACTCATTGAAATCCTCAATTCGCTCTACTACCCACTCTCGTTCTTCATCTTGCTTGGTAGGGGGGGCTGGAGGCTGAGACGAGACTCTTTTCTTTTTCTTCCCCACCTTTTCGGGGGTCGTCTCTTTCTTGTGATCTAATAGTGTCTCCAACCCAGCTTGCTGAGGAGCTTCAGGCAGCGGTATCGGAGAGCTGCGAGAGGAAACATCGTTGGATGAAAAATGAGGAAAGGTTCTGTTTGCGCCAAATGGTTTCCAGGGGGCCAAATTGGGTTCCGTGGGGTTGTCATTAAGCGTTGCTTTAGTAGCAAGACTTGAGGAACGTTCTGCTGCTGCAGGAGTAAACTGCACAGCCGGCTGGTCCCAAAATTCCAAGTTATCTGATGCCAAGTCGGGCTGCTCCTCCAGCGATTGATCGCTCGGCGACACCGGAGGCAGCTCACTCACCTCCTCCTCAGCGTCGTAGAACTCCTCCGCGTCCATCATCTCCTGTCCACTCTGCGAATCAGAAACGTCATCCATGCCCTGGACAAGCCTCCCTGCCAGCCTCGTGGGGCTCTCGTCGTCGCCACCCAAGGCCTCGAATTCCTTCAAAAGACTCTTCTTAGGTGTGGTCGAGAGCGCAAGGGCACCTCCCTTAAGCGGCGCCGGCGCGTCGTCGTCCGTCTCCATATCCGCCTCTACGGGCTGCAATCGCGGTCGTCCTCGTTTGCGCTTCTTGGTCGGCTGCGCCTGCCCGCTGTGCGCTTCGGCCGCTTCCTTCTCCCTCTGCTGCAGCTCCTCCCACTCCCTGTCGATCTCCTCGCGCTCGATGTCGAGCCTCGCCTCGTTCTCCGACTCCCACTTCTCGAGCGCCGCGGGCGAAACGTAGTCCAGCACGTCCATCACCGGGACCGTCATGCTCGCCGCTGGGAGATCACGCCACCCGATGACGTATATCATCCGTTTCGGTAGCGGCTTCCCATCTTTTTCTGCGAGGCCCTTTGGCGGGAGGAAGAGGCGGCTCGTGATGTAGGCGGTAGAGTCTTCGGGCGGGAGGAGGGTCACACGAGGGGCCGGTGGCCCAGAGTTGGGGACATAGTCGCGCGGTTTCGAGTTCAGGGCGATCACGAGGCGCCCCTTTGAAGGGCCCGCTGCTGTGGCATTGGGTTGAGCTCTCGGTCTTGGTAATATTGGCGGCGTGGCCGCCATTGCGTGTACGGCGTGTCTCGTGTAGAAGAAGCTACGCGCGCGCGCGTAGCAGGTCGTCACAGGAGTGGGAGACAGGCTGAGTATATATGGTTATGACCAGTGCCGTAACAGTCTGGCACATGAATCCAGAGGGGGCATTCTCCAGGTGAGTCCGAGACACCTTCGTGAGAGCTCGCGTCGAAGAGGAAGAGGTTAATCTTCAGTAACTGAAAGCATATGGGGATAAATCAAAACAGGCCAGCAAGTTCCAGATTTAGCCAACTTAGGATAGTTTGCTTAGTCAGCATCAACGCTAGCAGTAATACTAGAATATATAATAATATAATATTAAGGTATTAAGAAATAGTAAAAAAAAAGTATATTTATCTTTAAAAAACAATTAAAAAAAATACAAAAAAAGACTATTTAGTTATTAATTTATTTTAATATCTATCTAGTATTCTAATACGTTTTAGTATTATTCTAGCTTTTAAATTTTTGTACAATAAATCCTGGCTCTCGTTTAATAAATACCAGGTACGAAGGTTTATTTTGTAATGCTGTTGGGGGATATGCGCTTGGAAGGCCCAGCTGTAACCCCAATTTGTTTAGGGGTCATCGGCCTGGCGTTGGGCGCTGTCCGAGGCTGGGCAGGGGATTCAAGCGCTGTAGTAGAGAATTAGGTACCGAGTTATAGTGCCTCACAAGAATTCTCGGCGAATGTGTCACCGCCGCACTGCGTCTAAGAAGCTTTGGGCGCGAACCTTCTATCGAGCTTTGGGTATACTTGCTTATCTTTTACCAAAGATTTGATTTAGAATTTTTTGGCGTGTTAATCAAAGTGGCTTTATTGTTTATGACCTCGAAAGTGTTTCCTTCTCATTGTTCAGGTCAACTCAGCTTTTCCCTCCTCCTTCCCCAACGTTGTTATCCTACCCTATACATCGAATTGTAATTGGAACAACTCAACATCTTTCATGATTTGGTCGTATTAGATAATTCCGTCAGTCCCCATACTTGGATACTCATATGAAGAAAATTGATTTCAAAATATAAAACACATGATCCTGGTTGTTCACAGATGTGAGAAAGACCCGAGAGAGGAGATACTACGCCACGGTGTAAGGTGGCTCAAGTACAAGAACTAGATTCTGGATCGAGGTGACGATTGAGGACAAACCCTGCTGATCAACGGAAATCCATACCTCAATTTTCTAAATTGATTTCAGACTTTCAAGAAATTTAGAGCATCAATTCTATGGACATTAGGTTTAGGTTCGAGCTTCACGGGCACGTTTCTTACTTAGAAAACGAATTGGGGGGCGTCCTCACTTCACCACGCTCAGAATCTAAAAGAAGGCATTGGAATTACTCCCAGTCAACAGCACGATATTCCTCTAGCCGGCCTAGATTCTACGCCAAGCTGATTCGTCTTCCCGGCCGTTTCTAAAAACTGGGCTTGGTTCTACGGACAAATTTGCTCTTGAGTCACGTGCACAAGAGGAGGTGGTATGGCCTCAATCATCTGGGAAATCCCCAACAAGACCTGCAAAAGTACGGAGAAGCCGTTGCTCGCGAGGGGAGGCTGACGCGGAATTGGCTTGGAAGCATGCAGTAGTTTGAGGCTACGAGTGCTAATCCGACAGAAGTCTATCCACGCCTCAGATTCTTGAATGAGTAGCGCGTAGTTTTGGAAGATGAAGTCGGCCTTCCATTCCCCCTAACCGCCTCCGTCTACAGGTATGGATAAGATGACAAATCACAATTGAGTCGGAGCTGTAAAACGGCAGAGGTCACATTGATTATTATAGGTACGGCTTGCTTAATATACTCTATAGCCATAGCGAGAATAGCGTATGGTGTAGTGTATGTTCTGATTGAGGATGATCACCGGGACGTTATACGAGCGTTGGTCTAGGTGGACAAGTGTTTTCAGCTGTTTGCGTTTATTCGAGTAGCAGCAAATTTCTCATACATGCGTGTTTCGAAGCAGGTCATCCCTTGGGTTATCTAGCATCCAACATGAGCTAAAGCTTGAGGCTCATAATATCCATTCTATTTGTTATGAGCACACTTCGCTTTGACTGAAGTCCCCTACTCTGAGTCGCTCCCTTCGGATTCGGAGAAATAGCGATGGTCATAGAGCATGGCGATCTGAGTTCGATGTGATGGCTGCGTGGTGACCATTTTTCGGATCAGATCTAGGAACGTCTCACGATCAGGCTCATTCTTCAGTTTATCACTCCAGGCCTTGGCCGTATCGAATACGGGCTGTTTCCAGATCTCAGTATCGAGGCCGGGCTTTTGCGAACTCAAGTATTCAGACCAGTCTTTAGGTGGCTCACCACCTAAACACAAGGCATCGTAAAGTTGTGTCTGGAGATTACCCCATGATGATATCACATATCCTCCCTTCAATTGGTGCATCTTCACGTGTTGTTAGTATACATCTGCTGCATCAGGAGGGAGATAAATTGGAAGTCTGACTCACAATGCATCCAATCGCCCAGATATCGGCTTCTTTGCTCCAGACTGACCCAATTTCTCCCTTGGATAACATATGCAGAGCGACTTCAGGTGGTCGACTCGTGACTGCTGCGAAACCTGGTAGATCTGAAGGAATATCATCTTCCCAGCATGCTGATCACAGTTAATCATCAAGATCTGCTCACCAAGGCTAGGGAGCTTACCTCTTCCAAAATCCATGATTTTGAGACACATTTCCTCAGGTGGAGGGAGAAGATTCTTCGCTGCGATAAGTTCTTCGAATGGGACCTTTGCGGTAAGGTAGACTGGGACTGATTCACGTGGCAAGAACGGATCATGCGACACCACTGGTGTAAGCTCATTACAAAATTCCTCCATCATATCTTTTTCGGCAACCTGCTGGAGCTGCGGTATCGCTATGCCGAAGTTGCCCATATGGGGATCTGTAAACCGATCTTTAGATATATCCTTCACATTCTGGACTCCCACGGGTGAGCCTTACCTCCATGCACGATCCCGTGGCTGTGCATATATCCAATGCCGGCCAATAATTGCTGGGTTAGTTTCTGTGGCGAGGCTCGGTCTTTTCTCTCGAGGCAACCAATAGGTAGTACGACTTCGGTTACGATACACGCGTGGAACCCATTGGGGCCTCGGACTGTGAAGCTGTCGTAGATTTCCAAGATATTCTTGTGGCCCAGTGCGTCAGAGTTGGCCTGGTGGAGATGGCGTAGGATGTCTGCTTCAGTGCTGTTTTGAGTGGGTTGATCGGAACCCACACAGACTTTGAGGGCGACGTATCTCCTGCCAGACGGTCTTGATTAGCTAGGGACTGCCGACATGGGAGGACGGATCGGGCATACTTCTCGTCAACATCTCGCGCGAGCCAAACGGTGGAAAACCCCCCGTATCCAAGTTTCTGGAGGATGTGGTATCGTGGCTTTTTATCTTGGTCATCTACACAGGTACCAAGTTTTGGAAGAACTTCGCCGAGGATAACAGGATGCAGCCCTCTAGGCTTGTACCTGCATAGCTCCTCGGTCTCCAGTCCATCTCCCCCATAATAGAACCTGTCCGTGTCAAACCACGTAAACGGCGACATTATGGGCAATCAAAAGGCTCAAGTTGAAAATACGCCAAGTAGCCGGCCAGAGGTTGAGCCGATGTATGTTTTAATGGGCGATGAGGGTTTCGTAGGCAGCTGTGGATAGAGGTGGAAGTAAGGTAGGAAATTGAGGCAAACGTGAAAAGTGAAAAAGGTAGGTAGAGAAGGGCAGGAGAGTGTGTGGATGTGGGGGAGAGAGGTGAGGAAGGCACGCCCAGAAACCTTAGGTAGAGGCGAGCAGGTGCATGCAGGTACGAAAAGTTAAGTTATGATTTGGTAACGCGTCCGAAGCATTACGCCAGCAACACGCGTGACCACATGTGTTACTCAACTTTCCCGGCTGCATGTGACGAAAATACAGCATGACAATGAGGCTACAGCAATTTGGCGTGCAACAAAGTTGGAAGCATCATCAACTCTTGCAAGCCATTGGTCACTGATTCACTGATATGGAAATCGCCCTTGGTTGTCATTCATTCGACCCGGCAAAGTATCGGTAACCCTTAGGCGGATCAATATCAACATACCTTATTGACCTCTATACAAAATCTGGGCTGTGACTTCCATCTTGATTCGGTTGGATCACCCCATGAGGTCGTGGCGTTTTTTGACATGCTGGGTTTAGTCTGGTATTAAAAGGGTCCGGTAGATCACATCCCTTTCTGAAACGTCTTGGATCGCAGCTGGAAGGCTTTCTAGCCCGCGGCAGCATAACGACTATGCACCTGTCAAGGAAGCAAGGCCATGGCGAGTTAGTAGGTAGCTTTCACAGTGAATGTAGAGGTATCTTAACTCCTTACTAGAGAGTGCTGGCGAGATTTCCCAACCAGACCACCGCAGACCGTGCCAGCCAAGTGGGCGGTAAGATAATAGGGACAGCAAAGGTTCTTCAATCCCAACTTCTCAATGTAGACCACGATATTGATAGATAATGGCTGGTAATAATAACAAGCTATCTTGTAATTATGAGGCAATATTATCTACCTATTATTGCACAATAGGAAGCGTTATTATGTGAATGACTGCCACAACACTTCTGGGGAGATGAATCCGAAAACCCTGTTATTCTGAAAGTCATTTACATACTCACGAGAGGTGCAATACGTTTACTTCAGTCAGAGGGACGGGATGCAGCTAGCCTGCTTATTCATAACTAAAAGCCACAATATAAATTCCGCGTTACTTTTTATTTGGTGGGAAGTCCTGCATTTGATCAGTCGAAAGAGAACCGCAAATGTGTTCTATCTCAACTTTCCAACAGGCCACAATATCAATAAGTTATTCTCTGTGACCATTTATTCTCTTTCTCCTACGTATCCTCTGTGATAATAATGATTTTTCAATTGATTATTAGACTTATTGTACAAGATTACACAATAGGAAGCCTTTCTATGAGACTTACTGCCACAATAGTCCGAATGCCACTTGACTGATGTGAATCATCGCCGAAATCTTGTTTGCCTCTGCATTTTCACTCAGTCCTTCTCCGCAGCAGTCAACACAATGCAAACCAACCATCAAATGGTAAAGCACAATGCAAGGTCTGCTGTGATTAAGTGCCAGGAGCAACAAGCTGGAAGCTACGCTCCTCTGTGATTCATAGGCTTGGTAGCAATATAAATTATCGCAGAATTCCCGTTCAAATCTCTTCCTCTTTCATCCTTTCCCACTCATCTCCCGATACTGCTTTCCAAAGCAACAGCAATAGCAACAACAAGGCAACACCACTTGATTTCTGAGCCTACACCAGGGTGAACTCGGTCAAGATGCCTCGAGGGCATGTCTTGACTACTGACCATGATGGCCGCCCACTCAAGATCCTCTTCTTGATCCAAAGCAAAGATCACCAGGAGATTGTACTCGAAACTTTGAACGACAATGTCGAGGTTCTCAGGAGCTTTGTCACGAGCTGGAACCGCGGGGAACAGGTAATAAGAAACCGCCTTCCTACTCTATGCTCCGCACCTTTTGATTACTTACAGACAATGAAATAGGACACAAACGGTTCTCGCCCTACTTCTGCTTCGCCTTGCACAGTTCTCCTTGTTATGTAAGAACAGAAACCTCTATTAGGCATATACATACCCGATCAAGAAGCTAACAGCTTAAAGGATGCATCAGCACATGTCTACCACGTCACCCGACACGAGACTTCATATTTCAGCGAAGCCGGCAACAGATCAACTGTGGAACCACACGAACCGCAGAACACGTGGGAATGTCCATATCTACTCAGTGAAAGACAACGTTCGTCTCGGGTATGAAGGGTATTCGATCAACCACAGAGACCTTAACAGTCACAAGACGCCAGACCTGCAGAAGGCTATCACAGAGGCCGAAACATACGTGTATACGCAGACAACCAAACAGTGAGCCAAGGCGGGGTGTGTTTGGAAAGGCCTTATGCTATGAGATAGGATAGGTTTCCCTAGCGGAGCGGTGAGAGGGCGTGGATTTGACTTTAGCTGCACGGGCGTTTGTGGGTGAGAGGTTATAAGCCAGGTTGGCTACCTAGCATTTGAAAGATTCAACAAGTATTGCTCTTTTTCCTACTATTTCTTGAAATCGTGATATAACATCTCTCGTAGCCACGCAAGTGGCTTTCAGAAGATCAGGAATTGCAAAGTTGTCTCAATAGAAGTATTGTGGCTGTCGGTCATATAATATTGCTTCCTATTCTGCCGTGATGCACAATAAAACTAACAATTATTTGAAGATGATTATTGTTATAGAGAATAACATATTGATATTGTGGCCTGTTGGAATGTTGAGATGGAACACCTTTGCGGTCCCTGTTATTCTGACGCCCCTTTGTAGGGAGCCATTGATAGCGGTGAATTGGGAAGGGGAACAGGATTTTGTCAAGTTTCAAGTAGAAGTGCATGTATGATTTGATTATCTCATTCGATGGCTACGTAATCTGGGAATCTCTCATTGGAGAAAATCTAATCTCTGAATTCCAGGTTTCTTTAAAGCAGTGTGACTACCTATCAAGCTTCCGGAGCGACGAGAGGCACTGGCTAACCTTACGGGATGCGCATTTAGAAACTTGTGATAGCTATCTCGGTGCAATTTGAGTCTATATTACATGATAGAGAGCAAATGAAAAGCGTATGATTCGACGACTGGAGCGAGCAACGTCGCAGATTCGAGGAAGGACATTTTCCACCGCTTGTCCTGTAACTCCCGCTGGGCTCATCCCTCCTATCCAACTGTTCTAGTTCCACTCCTGCTCGAGGAACTCTCGGATCACGTCAGAGACGGGAGTGTCCTTGATCTCCAAACACCCAAACTCGCAAGCAGCCGAGCAATTCGGGATGTCCCCGTCAGGCAAACCCTGCTGCTCGCACAGCTCCCGCCGGTGCTGGGCGAGCCGGCCGTAGGCCTCCCATTTCTGGAGGTTGATTGTGAGGCGCTGGTGCTTGTGGAAAAAGGCTCCCCAGACGCGCTCTAGTCGCTGGTTGTTCATTGATGAGAGGAGGGTGTCCCAGGAGAAGCAGGCCAGTTTGTACGAGCCCTCGTACGTGGCCTCCCAACTCCACTTCTTACGGTTCAGACCGAGGCACTTGGCCAGCATCTCGACTTCGTTCTTGCGTGCCTCTTCAATCTTCTCCCTGCTGTGAGGTTCGAGGTGATACAAGTCCATGATGCGATACTTGTGGACCGGCCAGTCCTCGTTGTATGGGACCTTGTCGAATGAGATTGCAAGCTGGTTGGGCGCAATGTATGCCACGAATTCGCGCTTGGGGGAGTTGTCGGGAGGAGTGCGGCAGCCAGGATGCGGGCTTGGCAGGTCCGATTCCGAACCGTCGTCTGCAAGCTCATCGTCTGCGAAATAGTTGATAGATCCGGAAGATGGAAGGTCGACTGAGTTAGAAGAATCGTCCGGAGTGTGAGATGAATTACTTGGGCTCGACAAGCCCAATCGAGTCTCATCCTCTGCGATCCAATGTAGGGATCCAGAGGAGGGATGGTAGAACGGAAACTCCTTGTTTAGGAGCAAACCGTAAGCCTGAGCGGAATGACCCAAGGACACGAACTCAATGGTAAGCGCCTCGTACCCGGCGCTGTGATTGTAGTCGGCGTAAACGACCGCCTTCTCGCCGCCCACGGCGCAAATGAAGAACCAGACAGCGTGAATAGGGAACTTGTCGATTCTCAAGCGACGAGTAATATTCTTGAATGCAGAAGTAAGCTTCGATCGGTGAGTTCGCCCAGGGACGAGCCACACGTCGGCAGTGCGGCGGACTTCACTGTCCTCATACTCGAGGTAGAAGGTCGAGCTGGCCGACCAAGCGAATGTTGTAGCTGAAGTTCCAGACACGAACTCAATGGCGGCAGCTTTTGTGCCCTGGCCATCGACCTTCGCCGTGTCGAAAAGGAAAACATCAGCCACAGAGCCGAAACCGCGGACGCCCCTGAGAACTTGAGCGATGCTGACACCGGATGGAAGGTTACTGATGGTAACTCTGCGGCTTTCGTTGGGTTTGTCGTGGTCGAGCACAAACTTGCTCGATCGGGGAACCATATGGATGGGCATGTCTTGGCGTAGCCGCGCAAGAAATTCCTAATTCCTTGCACTGCTTTCCTTGAAAGCCATTGTTGGTATTCTGAAGCAAAGTCTTGAAAGCTAGTAGAGAAAGCTGATGCGATGAAGTCTTGAAGAAGCAGAGCGTGATGAGAGCTTCAGGTTCTGCCCTTGTAGGCGTGAGGAGCAGAAAGCATAATGAAGGTGGAGAAAGCAGGAGAAAGCAGGAGAAAAGAAGGAGCGGTGAGGAAAGCAGGAACTTTTCCAATGTGCGAGAGGGTTGTGCGCTATTGTGCGGGAGCTGTGACAAAGGCGGCTCCGGGCATCATGTACTTGTGTCGAAGAGTCTCTCTGGAGCCCAGCAAGACATATGGCAGACAGCCCTCCCAACACAAAGGAGTCACAACAACACCAGGCCGCAACTCATAGATAGCTGATTCCACCTCGGAACATGGTGTATTCGCTCTTGAATAGGTATTTCGGTATCTCCTCTCGTTCGAAATAGGTTTTCTGATACACTGGAAAGGCAGAGGGTTAGGCTGATAGTCCATGCCCAGACACGGGTACATACAGTTGTACCACTCACTAAGTGTCCACTCCAAACCAACTCAAGTTCAGTTGAAACTCTTCATAGACATGCCCCAGCCATAAAAAATAGACGAAAAGCCCTAATATGTCCATGGGCAATGGCATGGAACCACTTCTTGTGTTGCACGCGTATTGAAAACATATGTGTTGAAATTGTGCTGTGTTGGTACCAACAAACGATGTACTGTCAACTGGTGTGTAGGTTTTGGTTAGGGGTTCGAAGGAACTGCCCCAAATACTCTGAGCCTGGGGCTGATGAAGACTAGTCACCCTGGGATAGGATGATAGGTTGATTCGCCGAAGGCTAGGAAAGGCATGACGAGTTGCTACGTCTTGTCTTTCCAGCAACACAGGGACTCTTTTATCCAAGATTATCCACGATGAGGGACATCTGTCATCCATATATGGGAGAGCAATACTCAAAATGGTTCAGTCGAAATGGTTCGGTCGCATAAGCAGCGATATCCAAAGGTGTTCGTAATCTCATCAGGCCCGAGGGCTCTTTCGCAGGATGAAGAGACGCGGTTCATGGGAAGGTCACTTGGTGTGAACGAAGCTTCTCAAGGTTCTTTATCACTCTTGGTATTCTCGGCATCGGGTCTTTGGTGGCCTGATGCAGGCATCATGATTTTCCTCTCGCCACTTGTCGAGAGGCGCGAGGATGCTTGGGAGCTTCCTGTGGTTTTCTCGTGGTCTGCCTCGGAAACATCGCGATGATCCCTCTCTCTTCCGAGATTCTTTGTGCCGCATGATGCGCGAAGGCTTGGGGAATGCTTTTCTTCTCATCTTTGATGACTTCGTGTCGCGGGAGGGCTGGTGGTGCTTCGGGGAAAGGACGATTGTTGTCTCGGGGTGATGACTTGGAAGATGTGTCAGGTTTTGAACGAGTAAACTTTGGAGCAAGGATGGGGAAAGATGCAGACTGGTGATGGAGAATCCTTGGATCCAAGAGGCTTCAAGACTGACCTGGTAGTTCTTGGAAAAGTTTGAGGGACGGGCAAGAATAGTGTGATGTGTGCACCGATGCTGATCAATGTTGGACCTGTTTTTCTTGAAAAGAGTGCGGAAGTGAGCATCTTCCTATGATGCAAGTCGACGTGGAATGGAATCAGACAAAGATGAGGGAAGAACAAAGGCAAGAAGTAGGGGGGCGGGGAAATAACACAAAGGAACTCTGAGTTCGCCCGGGACGTAAACAATGACTGGGTGGTCCCTATGCACTGTTCATGAAAACACCACGAGCACGGTGCACACTTCTAGAAAATATTAAAACGAGCTAAGATACTGTAACTAACTACGAGTCTATTTTAGAACACACGAAAGGGTTTGTGGGGTGCGAGTTGGCTCTGGATACAGCGAGGGTAAGGGGTGGTCACCCGGAGCACTACTGTCACCTTCGCGTCGCGGATACACGAACAACAAAAAGCCATCACAACTATGAACATGATATTTGGCATGCAATAGTTCTATATGAGGTTTATTTATGGGATTCCCTAGACTGGGGAGGTATTGTCTTGGCAATGATCAAGTAACGCGCGCGCGCCGACTGAACGTGACACGACTTTCTGCCTCACCCTTCAATCTTGGAAAGAAAATGCATTCGCATAAATCTCAAAGGAACATCATTACAGCTTTCTTCAATAATTTTAATGCAAATAAAAAAGTGTGTTGGTCGTGATTGTCGTGCGTTCAAGAGGAGGGAAAGGGGGCATGTGAGCATGAGTAGAGTGGGAGTGACTCACTGCTTTGCGTCAAAAACACCAAATTAATTTATTCTGTGACTTTGAGTGGCTTCATATGTGCAGTAGTTGGATCAAGGCTGCTACTAGCAGGCGGGGGTTGAGGGGATGCTGTGGAGGGATCCCGTAGAGGGATGCCTTGGGAGGAAGCCAAGAGCGGCCGGCCTGCCAAGTTGCAGGACATGAAACCCAAAGCATTTTGGCAAGCTAAAAACACCGAAAAAAGACTTGACGAGAAGTAATAATTATATCAGGATACCATTTGGGAGGAGGATACATTGGGAAGCGTGGACTTTGGGGCACAGACAGCCTTGGTGGGATGTACTGTCCACTGGAATAGGGACATTCTTTTTGAGCCTCGTGCCCAGTTTTCTCCGGAATATTTGGGACTTTATTTATGCATACCTATGAAGTGACATATATTGTCGATCTAATGGATTCATCCTGGGCGTAGAACATCCCCCATGGGCCTACCATGCAGGACTTCATCGCCCCGTCTTGTCGCCCCGTCTTGCCCCATAAGGTGCTGTATACCCAGATGAAATGCCCATTCTCTCATGAGTAGCCCGACGTATGATATTCAAGGCCGATTCGTCACCTAGAGGAACCATGTACAATATTTAGGGGGACTTTGTTGAGCGGTTGCCCAGTACCACCTGCCCATCCTTTCACTGAAAAGTCGTTGCACTGCTGTAACCCTCTCTGAACATTAAGTAAAATAGAGGCTTGACTGCTTAGAGACCACCTGGAAATAATATTATAATACCTGAGTAGGCACTCAGGCGGCAGATAAAATCGGTGGGCTTGATTTGCTGCGGGTGACGCGCATACAAAATCCCACTTCTCCCCTCGACCTCTCCTCCTCTCCTTTCTTCCTTCATCCCCACACCAACTTTGGCCTCAACCATCAACCACAACTATCAACTTCATTCCTTCCTTGGTAAGTGCACATCTCTATCATCATATTCATCTGCTTGGCGGAGTTTGGAAAAGGCTTCCACCCGTACAAAATCCCTCCACCAAAACCCAAGCTGCAACTTCCCCAGACACACACTCCTTGTTTGAAGCCGCAGAAAACGAGATTCACTGCTTTCAACTTCATTCTACCCTCCCCAGAATCCTTTAGATCCCTTTCACCAAGTATGATGCTTTTCTAGAGATTAACCTTCCCCAAAAATTAAAGACTCCAGAGTGACAGCCACGGTCGCAGCTCCTCACACGCGCACCTCCTCGCTTTGGGAACAACAACGCGACTCTGCAAGCTACTCAAGTCATCAGGTAAGAAACGCACATCATCATCACTTCTTCACTCAACTGATTCTGAACTTTATTTGATGACCTTGAACAGTTTTTTCTCGCCTCGTTTGGTCGCAACAGCCATCATTTCACTTTGGTTTTCGGCCTAGATCCCCTACCCCTCTTCTCCCCTCCAAGGCCACATTCTTCTTTCACCCACGCGTTCACTCCTTCTGCCTCTTTTTGCGAAAGAATTTGTTTCATTTCCATTTTCTTTCCATAATCTGCCACTTAAAAGCCGACGGGCCACAAACCCAAAAGCTGCCACCATGAAGTCCACTCAGGCACTTGGCTGGGTCAAGCGCTTCTGGAACACCCCCCTATCTTCCCTTTCCTCCATGAACACACGAAACACAGCAATTCACTTTCACTCCACTCGAGACAAACCACCTCGGGGTCCTGACACTGAGGGTCAGGAAAAAGTCAACTTCGATGAGCTCGAGAACAAATCGGCCAAGCCAAACGCAAAGCCTCCCACCCCCAAGAACGAGCATCGTGGCCTGTCCGGACTGCATGAAAATGAATCTACCCAGACACCTCCTACTCACGGAACTTCTAAGAAGCACTGAGTTTCTGTCGAGAGAACACATTTCATGGTAGTGAAACAAAATCCCGACTTCCTTCCCACTTTTCCTCCTCACCTCCCACCCCAAACCAAAACCCTCCCTTGAGAAAGGAGTCATTTATGGCTGCCTAAAATTGGCCTTTCTTTTTTCTTCGGTAAGTTTCTCTACCTTTCCACTTTCCCACTTCTTTTTCTCGCCTTTTTCTTAACATCTGTTTTAGGATGTCTTTCGAAATGAGGCCCCTGAACCCGACATACCCCTGCCACCGTCATCTTCACAAGCACGTCTCTCAAATTTCAAGAATATCTTCTCCTTTGTTTTGAGATTATCTACAAATAATACACATGATTTCATCATAAACCACAATCTACTGCAATGAGAAGTTTCAACTCGAAGTTTCTCGGAGTGATTTCATCCGCTACAACCCCTACTCCCAAGCTTTGCGCTCGACCACGTCAAAACCACGAATGTGAGCCGCAGACTCATAATCAACAATCTTTCATTTGGCCTTCTCTGAATGAATTCTGCCAAAGTATGGTGCCTTTTGGCAGCGTTACTACAGAAGAGAATTCCATGTGGCAGCCCCTGTGGCCGCGACACCGCCGCCAGCTTACGCATCCCCCCTGAGGTACAACTCCCCGTTCTTCTCCCCAACTGCCTTGAAAATTTGCTAATTTTTCCTCTCGGACCTAGAAGATTCTAATCTGATTCTTTTGGCACAATAATCGCAATGAATTGGTGCGGAAATCAGGGTTTCTTAGGGCAGTTGCCCTCCTTTTCACACCGCTGGGCGGGAGTTGGTGGCGCGGGTCACCCCCAAACAACTTCTCCTTCCACCCTCCACCCTCCACCTTCTCTCTTCTTCAACTCACCACATACACACTTCTTCAAGCACTTCATACTACTTCAAGCCTCTTGCACTTCATCATTCATTCATTCATTCCTTTAATGAATGATCATCGCATCCATCACACTTCATAACATCCTCAACATACATCATCTTGCTCTTGATGCTGTCGCCGTCTGCAACTCATCGTCGCATGGCCTTGGCCTTCACCAAAGCTGAGCATCAAAGAAAGTAGCGACATCCCAAAGCAACTTCACCCTCTTGGTCTGACCAAAGGTTGCTCTATTGAACGAAGCCCTACCTAGTTGTTCCTTGGTGGCTTCGGTTTCATACTACACACATCCTTGGCAAAGAACACTGTCTAATCATGGCGAGTGGAAATGCCTACATCACTTCTTTCTAGCGATAACTTCATTCGCTTCATCTACCCATTACGAATTTATCAAGACTTCTCTTGTCATCACCGCCTCTTCATCACATCTACTCATATCTCATGTTGTGTCTTGTACCAACAACTTGTTCTTCATCATCGCACTACATACCATCATGAGATGCCGTGACCAAGCATTTATCCCGCTCAATGGTCTACCAAATGAAGCGCTTTCATCTTCAAAGCATCCTGTTCCCTCAAAGTCCGGACAAACAAAAAAACCTCTTACAAGTTTCCTTCCTGGTAGTGGCCGCACCAACACTCCTCCTCTCCCCTGATCGAGACGAGCGGTGCGATACCAACACACCTGAACTTGAACAAAAAATCAGCATCAGTCACACACATACCTCCCTTCCATGGCAGACATGTCTCGAAGGATGATTCTCAATCTCAAACTCACGCCTGCTTACACCCTCATTACTTCCATGGCTGTCTCCATCAATCACCAAGGGACCTCAAGCCTACGGAATATCCCTACCCAAAGCCAACCCCCACAACGAAGAACCTCCCTCAGATAGAATTGCACCATCGCCTAAGGATGTGGCACGGGTAATTCTATCTACAACGACGAACCTCACTGAAATAGAATTGTACCATCGCTTAAGGATGTGGCACGGGCAATTCTATCTGATGGTCGTCCGGAACCCACCGGTCCAAGTTCACTTCGGCGTTCAAGAACGTCACGCGTCGCTTTAAAACAGACAAATTCCCGATTAACGCCGTGAGGGACTTGCCCTGAGGGATGCTTAACATCAGAAGCATCGCCTCCATCTATATGGCATGGATGGCTGAGCAAATTGCAAATTCGACTTCCTGGAATGATACAAGTCCTGCTTGGAATTTGCGGTCCGGCTAAAGGTGGTATCTAGAGCATTGTATCGACGCCCAAGTATGGGGCATGATCAATCCTTGATAATGATACCAGCACCCTCCGTGATCACCTCTGGTAGCTCCCCGGCTTGTTGACTCGAACTCAAGCCGCCCCCCCTGTCGACGAGATCACGGACGATGGCCTGGCCGAGTGTACATTTGATCCAGTCAAGTTCTCCGTCGCTCCTTTCGCAGCAGAGTTCCGTACCCTCGTCGCCATCTGGGAGCCGCTGCTCGACGTGTAACTGGACTGGAACACTACCGTCGCGGGCAAGAAGCTCCTCCCGGAGGGCAATTGATTCGCAAGTTCATCATTCGATTCCCCAAGGAACCGATTATGACCAAAGGCTTGCTGGAAATCCCCTGCTTTGCTGTTGTTCTGAAGAAGCAGTCGTTCAAGGCCCCAGCCCGCACTCTCAGAGCTTTCCTAGACGACCGAAAAAAGGAGTTTCCTTTCTACCACCCCTCCTCTGGATCCCTACATTGGATCGCAGAGTATGAGATGCGATTGGACTTGTCGAGCCCGAGTACCTCCCCCAACACTCCGGACGATGGATTTGGTGGTTAGAGAATTGCCTCAACGCTTGAGTATGTGGCATGTGCAATTCTCGTTGATTCACGAAGCTGGCGAAAGCAGCCAGACGGCGGCAGGAAGACGGTTTCTTGTCGGAGCTGTCCAGTTCTTTGATGGTGCAAGCAACAGTGGAGTCCATTGGGCAACGATCATCTTCGATCGTCAGACCGGCACTCTTTACTATTGACACACTCGCGTTTGGTAGAGAGGAAAGATTTAGAGCCGCCTGTTACTCAGTGCGGAGCTTCTGGACCCAACAAGGCCACCCCTTTACGGTCACTGCCATCTGCTTGAATCTCACATCGCAGGATGAGCCGGGTCTATCTGGAGTACTTGCAATATTTACGCTTTGGATGACGATCAGAGGTTTGGTGGGTCGTGATCTCCGTGCCATGGACCTCAACCCATACCACTCTCAAGCCTCCCCTAAGGATTGACCAACGCCAAAGTATGTGGCACGGCAATCCAAGATGGCACCACCACGGTGTTCGTCCTCGGCGATGTTGAAGCAGAAGCACATTCCTTCCTCACAAAGATGAAGTACATCACGATCGAGGGTCGTAACCCTGGCTTCTGTTGGGTCACCGTGATCAGTGAGTGACGATGGTGGTGTTCTGAAGATTGTCCAACGCCTAAGTATGTGGCAGGGCAATTTGACGGCACCACCATGGTGTTCGTCATCGGCGATGTTGAACTAGAAGCACATTCCTTCTACGAGACCGACATCGCAAAGATGAAATTCATTACGATCGAAGGTCGTAACTTCTGTTGGACCGCCGCGATCAGCGAGTGACTGGTGGTGCCTGAAGATTGCCCAACGCCTAAGTATGTGGCAGGGTAATCTGACGGCACCACCATGGTGTTCGTCATCGGCGATGTTGAATTAGAAGGACATTCCTTCTACGAGGCCGACATTGCCAAGATGAAGTATATTACGATCGAAGGTCGTAATGCCGGCGCCTGTTGGGTCGAGGACCCATACAATCTCCAACCCGGGCCCGCGCCAGGAGCCCTCTCCATTCTAGCAACCTTGCTCAGGGATATTGAGGCTGTGTTCGTTCACCACAAGATGAGCATCAGCGCCTCCGAGGACCCGGACCGGATTGCCGAAGATCTCGAGATGACCGTCGACACCCCCCAGCCGGCCTCCTTCGTCCCTGAATTCGTCGAAAGCTTATCCACGCCGAGTCTCCCCCAAGGAGTGTGTCTGCACTGATCCCGCCGATGGGTGACATCGAGAGGATTGCCCAATGCCTAAGTATGTGGCAGGGCAATCCTCGAGGGCAACATGGACCCTATCGCACGACTCTAGAGTACTTCACGTCAACCGCAGAGCGGCACATCGACTTAATCGCTGATGGCCAGTTATATCCGGAATACGCCAAAGAAGCCTTCGCCTTCTACACCCTGCTGCGAGATCAAGCCGCCCCGGTCCTGGCCAATCGATCCGGAGACGAGAGAAAGTTTTGGGTTGCCCAACGCCTAAGTATGTGGCAGGGCAACCCTCGAGGACGGCACGGACCTTCCAGTACGCCTCTCCAGTACTTTACCTCGACAGCAGAGTGGCATCTTGAGCTAATCGCTGATGACCAACTGTACCCCGAGTATGCCAAGGAAGCCTACGTCTTCTATAAGCTGCTCCGAGATCAAGCTGCCCCAGTCCTGGCGAATCGATCCGGAGACGACCCGAAGTTTGGGGTTGCCCAACGCCTAAGTATGTGGCAGGGCAACCCCCGAGGATCCTTCAGCCACCTCCCAGCCGAGCTGATCGACTCCTTCGTCCAAAACGAGTACGACACTCTCAAGTGGCTTTTTAAAACCGGCATACCTGTTGTCGAAGCTTACGGATACGGTCTTGCCAGTGACCCATCCAACCTCGTGGGCGTTAGTTACATCTTCCTGTGTGTCATGCCAGGCAAGCCAAGGCTGTGTTCGTACACAACAAGTTGATATCCCTGGCCGAACTCACCGGTCCAAGCTGACTTCGGCGTTTAAGAATGTTACTCGTCGCTTCAGAATCGACAAGTTCCCTATTAATGCTGTTTGGTTTTTCATCTGCGCCGTGGACGGCGAGAAGGCGGTCGTTTATGCCGACTACAATCACAGCCCGAGAGGATTGCCCAACGCCTAAGTATGTGGCAGGGCAATCCTCAAGGAACACACGACCAGGTTAGCCAGGAATCTCCAGCCTGTGCCCGCTTCAGGAGCCCTTTCTATCCTGGCAACCTTAGCCAGGGACATCAAGGCTGTGTTTGTTCAACACAAGATGAGCATCAGCGCCTCCGAAGACCCAGACCGGATTGCCCGGGATCTCGAGATGTTCGCCGCCTGGACAACGCCTAAGTATGTGGCACGTCCGTCCTCTGGGACTAGAGGATCGTCATCGGCGGCTAAGGTCGATGGCCAGGGCACAAAATCTGCCGCCATTGAGTTCGCATCTGCCAACTCAGCCACAACCTTCGCTTGGTCGGCCAAATCGAGCTTTTACTTTGAGTACGAGGACAATGAAACCCGCCACACTGCCGACTTCCCCTCTGGCTAGGCCTCAATCCTCAGAGGAGCGTAGCAGCCCTGAAAAGCGAGACAACCTATCATCTGTAACCGATGATAAGGCAGCTCTTGAGAAAGACGAGGTTTCCTAGATCGAAGAAGTTATCCTCGTGTGCAATGGTGGCCGACGCCTAAGTATGTGGCATGTGTCTCCTCTGTGACGGCACCACCAGTTCCCGTCTCATCTTGCCGGCTCAAAGAACAACTGAGGTGATAACTTTGGTGGCTGATTCTGAGCTCGCGGTGCTGAGAGAATTGATCGACGCCTAAGTATGTGGCAGACAGTTCTCGACGACGCACCACCACTTGAATTCTGGCTCCTCCACCAGCTAGCCATCCAGCTGGGCCGCCCCCATCTTCAACTCGGCACAGTGGCCGTCCTCGCCCCCGAGCGAGTAACCGAAAAGGCGCTTGTCCGTTTCGACAAGCCAGCCGCCTGGTCCTTTCAGGGGACCGATACGCACATCCTCTCCCAGGTGTGCAAAGATTCTCGTGATGTAGTGCAGAAGCATTGTGTCACTTTCCGGGGTAAGGATGATACCCCAATCACGACCAAGGGGCCGATCGTGTATGCGAACATCAATGCTACGATGTATCCTCCATTACGACCAAGGGACAGATCGTCTACGCCCGGATGTTGGCGATGCGGAGAGACTGCCAGCGCCTAAGTATGTGGCAGTGCAGTCTTGATAATGGCATCAACCTGGTCCTCCCAAGGGATGGACCCGCACATCCTCTCCCAGGTGTGCAGAGACTCTCGAGACATCGTGCTGAAGTATTCTGTCGCTTTCCGGGATCCCACAAAAATATTGTAAAAGGGACGTGAGAACAGATCGAGAAAGAGAAGACCACTTTCTCTCGCGAACGAACAACAGCCAGACTGGTCTTATGCGACCAGATCAGAGCTACGGACCGCATTTAATAAACGGACATCGGAACCACCCTTCTTGGCCTTGACTGGTTGAGAAGGGTAAAAATGCAAATGGACGGAGTCTTTTCGGGACCCTTAGTACGGGAGCATGGAAATCTGGTGTCTGATCAATTGTATGGAACATTTCGCTAAGGAACCTCAACACGCAATGGGCGCCAACAACATCCCTCTTGGTCTTCACTGATTGAGAAGGAGGGAATGTGAAGGGAAGGAATTTTTCGGAACTTGAAGAGGATGGACAACGCCTAAGTATGTGGCACGTCCATCCTCTGGCATAGAAATCTGATGCTTGAATTGTCAAGAATCCTTTTTGGAACGCAATCGCAAACCACCACAACGGTGCCGAAATCACCATCCTGGCCTTAGTTGATTGAGAAGGGCAAATTGCAAAGGGAAGGAGTCTTTTCGGGACCCTTAGTACTGGAAGCATGGTATCTGGTACCTGTTCGCGAAGGAAACTCAACAGCTGAATCGGGATACTTAAGTGGTGCTAGAAATCTCCCCCATTACTACTAAGGGACTGGTTGCATACGCTTGAATGTTGGTGATGCTGAGAGACTGCCGGCGCCTAAGTATGTGGCAGTGCAGGTCTTGATGATCCCCCGCTCGAGCAACGTCGAGTTCGTCTCCTTGGCTCATTCCGTCCAAGCTTACGGGTTGTGCTCGATCACGACACACTCAATGAGAACCGCAGAATCACTATCAGTAATGCAAGAGTCGAAGGACCTTGGAAAGAAGCTTACTGCTTTCCACCTGTTCAACATGTTCCCGCAGGAGCTCCAAGATGAGGTTTGGACAGCAGCCGTCTCCGCCACCACTGGTAGTACCTCGGCGGGTGATTGAGAATGATGAAGTTGGCGATGTCTAGAGAGCTGGCCGACGCCAAAGTAAGTGGCATGGCAGCACGACTGGAGCGCGTTTGGAGAGCTTTCTTCCTCAAGCACCAGCGTCTCACAATCAACCTCCAGAAATGGGAGGCCTACGGCCGAGCCGGCGGGAGCTGTACACACAGCAAGGTCTAAACAGACAGGCCTCTCCCTAATATCGCCTCAACAGAGTTGTCCTCTGAACCCAACCATCACATTTCTCACAGCAGTAAGTAGCCCAGCATTCCCTCTACCGCAACATCAGTGTATCATCTTCTTTTCGGATCTTACTAACATCTTCTCATTATTTCCCAGTGAGAACAAACATCTGGAAGCAAGGCTATCCTCTCTCATGAACGATCCGGTCTGGGATCTGGAGTTGAGTACGGAAGATGGAGATGCGGAGAGGACCGACTAACGCCTAAGTATGTGGCATGTCGGTTCTTAACGATGCATCGTCAACCTCGTAACCTGACATTACGCTGGGTGAGTCAATTCAGATCGTCCTTTGTTCAATTTCCCTCGGCCAGTCTGCTAATGAATGAAAGGCAGTCTACGCGATAGAGATTGGTTGAGGGGTCGACGTCTGGAGAGTCTGTGCGCCATGAACTTGCGAACGCAGGCAAGACCTCACCTAATGGAAGTACAGCCATGGGCACCCCATTGGAGTGGAAGCGCACCGCGCCACTCTCATCGCATATGCCCGTCGCAGACCGCATGTCACGGCGCAGACTCAACCGATGGCTCCATTCTCACTTCCTGACCGACGGCAAAGTATGTGCCATGGCAGCTCTCCGGCGTTTGGCCGCTCAATGTGGACTTATTCTCCTATCTCTCACGTTTCGTGGGCTACAATGGCACCGAGACAAATGAGCGACGGTGGCTGAGACCACCGAGAACTACCCCGTAAGGGGCCGAGGCGACCATCAACCCGCTCCCCAAGTTGGGGATTCACCGTCTAGTCTGAAAGGACCTTGGAAAGAAGCTTGATTCTTTCCACCTTTTCAAGCAGCTCCCACAGGAGCTCCAAGATGAGATTTGGTCCGCGATGAGGTTACCGAGGACGAGGGTGACAAGATTTGCCGGCCTCCACCGGCCATGACAGAAACTCGGGCCCTCCTAGCTTCCCGACAGCAGGAGATGGACGAGTTCGAGGCGGAAATGATGGCTTTCTGGCCAGACGAGTGGTTGTAATCATCTGCCCAGCAGCAATACACCCAACAGGATTCCGACTGGAAGCGCAATATCGCCCTGGTCATTCTTGGAGTGGAACGTGTTCACCATACCCTGTCGATGAATTAATCCTGGGTCCCAAGGAAACAACCGGAATACAAAAGACAACTTTGTTGCGCTCTGCCTTGAGTTCACTTTTCTCAGGCATGATGTCACTCTCTACTTCTCGTCACAAGCATTCTCTCCATTTCTCGAATCCTGGGTCACAAGGAAGAAACAGAATACAAAAAAAAAACGGAATCAAGCACCGAATATGCCCGTTTATCATATCGGCCACCGAACGAGCTCAATGCCTCTCGTGTTGCTCCAGATTCATAATTTTCGTCGGTATATTCTTTCGACTTTCGGCACAAGAAGCCCGGAGATTTCACCTTCAGGAGGCATGTGGCATACAGGAAGCAGAATGTCTCGAACACGAGCAATAGTCCATTCACACAAATTTAAATTCTTCAACGATGAGCGGCAGTGTATGGGGGCTTGACCGGCGGCAAAGTACGTGCCATGGCAGCCCCCAGACGGCATTCGACCCCTCAATGCGGACTTGTTCGCATACCTCTCTCGCTTCGTAGGGTACAACGGCCCCGAAATCAACGATGAGCGGCGCTGCACCTACGCGCAGCACAAGGAGAGACAGCTGGCAAAACTCCTTTTCGGCTCTCATCACCGCGTTAGAGGATGCTTCCAGCAACGTCATGGACATCTTCTATGTTGCTGAACCTGCCCGTGAGAAAATCATCCACGTTCTGAAGCAATGGCGTGAGCCTCCTGTGGAGATCTACACGACGGCTGCCATCAGACGAATGATTGTAGAGCAGTCGGATGCCCAGGATGAAGCCTCTTGTGAGGATTACCCAACGCCTAAGTATGTGGCAGGGCAATCCTCAAGGAAGAACAGCACCAGCCATGACAGAAACTCGGGCCCTAGCGGCTTCTCGCCAGGAAGAGATGGACGAGTTCGAAGCTGAAATGATGACCGCCTGGCCCGAAGAGTGGATGTAGACTCTACCTAACAGCAGTCCATCCGATCGGAAGTGCAATATCACATGATCATTCTTTGAGGAACGTGTTCTCCCCGCTGATCCATTTCCTTACGCTCTACGCACCGGGAGTGCTTCGCCGATGGCCGACTCGTTGAGCACATCTGTTGCATTCTACCACGAGCTCAAACTTCGTGATGAGGCTACCGATGAATTGAATTAAGAACAAACTCGACAATGAGGGGGAAAGTGTCTGGGGAGGGGGTTGACCACCGGTTAAGTATGTGCCACGGCAGCCCCTGACCCTCCGTGAGGGTGTTTACCCGTACGATGACTCTCGTCCCGAGCCCGGCACCGCTCTGAACAGCGCCGCCTCTCCTGAATCATTCAGAAGTTCGGCAAGGCGTTCGTGAAACTCCGCCGGGATACGCGCAATATGCCGTATGCCTTCGTGCAGTACACTGTAAGTCAAACCGTCAGCCAATCACTCAACACCGAGAAGGGAGATGGAAATTAACCATGGGTAGTCGGATAATGATGCCCAACGTGCATTCGAGAAAGCACAAGGAGTCAAGATCACCTTGCGTGAGGAGACGAGCAATGATCGGACTATCATATGAAAGGAGTCAGCGCTATCCGAGGGGAGGCAACGCCTAAGTATGTGGCACATCCATCCTCTGGCTTGGAGAGCGAAGTACGTGCAAGACTACCAATTACCAGTTGCCCGAAGCTATCTATCTAACATCAAACTAGGACGACTCGGCCCAGGATCAGGCAGTCAATGCTACTGCTCCGGATTCTTCTTCTAATTCAGTCGACCTTCCCTCATCCGGATCCATGAAAACTCGGAAATGCCCCGAGATCAACGACGAGCGGCGCTGCACCTACGTGCAGCATAAAGAGAGAGAACTGTCGAAGGCCCTCCCTCTTCATGCCAGGAGTACTTCGCCGACGCCAGCCAGGAGAGAAGCATTGAGCATGCTGCCTGCCATCACGAGCTCATCTCCAGAGTAAAAACTGCAGTGGTATCCTCGCATTGCAAGTTTGGAATGAAATATCCTCGCAATGAGGTTAGTGTCTAGGGAGTTGACCGACGGCCAAGTATGGGCCATGGTCATCTTCCGACAATGACACTGACCTTCGCGACGGCAAAGAGAGACAACTCTGCCAATCTATCTTCAATGTTGAGGGAATCTTCGCCAACGGCTCCCCGCCAATTCACTTCTTGCCTCTCTACTCCCCTTACCGGGAGTACTTTGCCAACGCAAGTCAGGATCGAGCCATCGAGCACGCCGCCTGTCACCACGATCTTAAGTCTCGTGATGAAGTTAGTGTCTAGGGGATTGACCGACGGCCAAGTATAGGCCATGGCAATCTTTCGGCGATGACACTAACCTCCGCGATAGGAAACCGAAGCCGACGGGATCGCGCGCATGGAAGCGGATAGCTTTCTCGTTGAACTTAGGAAGGATTTAGAAGACACCACGCTTAGTGCTCCGAGTGCAGGCAGTGTCTAGGGGGTTGACCAACGGCCAAGTATGGGCCACGGCAACCCTTCGATGATGACATGCACCTTGACACTCTCAAAACAAAACAAAGCACAAATTTGACTCGAGGCTTGCAAGCTGCTCATCAAAATGGCACTTGTAGGACCTACTGTACCGCCATTCACCTATGCTCGGATCCATGGCGAGTTAGACTCTCCAACTGCATGGCCTTTCCTGAGCACCTTCGAAGCAGCCAAGCTCCTCCACGCTGGAACCTTGAAGGAGCAGTATATGGAGCAAGGAAGATGTACTTCTCAGCCTTCATTCTTCCAGCCAAGATTTGAGTAGCCAAACGTTGACTCGTCGCAACTCACCAACGCGTTGAACGTGTCAACCGATGACGCGGTTGATGAGATCGGACTGGTCGCCCAAGATCGTGTCTGGATGCAGAATCAAATCTTGTCAAGAGCCCCAAACTGGCAGCAGCACCTAACGGATATTCGCAATATCCTTTGAGGAGGATGAATTGTGAGGGAAAGGAGTCTTTTCGGGACTTGAAGAGGATGGACAACGCCTAAGTATGTGGCACGTCCATCCTCTGGCATGGAAATCTGGTGTGGCAGGAGTGAACAGCCTGATAACAATAATGCTCTACGGCCTTGAGGGCACCATCAGCAAAATCTCATCGCCATTACGAGTCTGCATGTACAGGCAGGGAAATGTCCCCGCGTTTTACAGAGCTCCTCCCACTGATCATCAGTACCTCCCTGGGGCACAACTTGTCCGCGGCAACCGAGGCCGGACTTGGCCGTATTCCAGATGCCAGCCCTTGCCAATTTCACACATCTATAACGACAGGACTTCCTCAGTTCTTTACTCTCTCTCATCAGGGGCTTCTTGGCTCCGTTTCCTAAGAGTGGATGTAATCATCTGCCCAGCAGCAATAAGATCCAGCAAAGAGGAGTCTTCTGCTTCTGACGCGCAACTTGTCTACTTCTTTTCTCGAGCCTCGCTTTGGTCGTCTAGCAACGATGAAGCGGTACGCAGCCTCCAACCCTGATGGAGATGCGGAGAGGACCGACTAACGCCTAAGTATGTGGCATGTCGGTTCTTAACGATGTATCGTAAACCTCGTAACCTGGCGATACGCTGGGTGAGTCAATTCGTGAATGCCGCGATACGGCCCTTCATGATGCTGTCGGATGCGTAGCGAGAGATAGAAAGTATTGGAATGACTCTCCTCAAGATCGTCTTATCAAAAGACGAAAGTCATCTGAAGCCGAGGGCCTTCAGATGTCTGAAGAGCCACAATCGTCGATGTACATAAAGAGTACAAGGGATTTCCTCATGGAGCATCTCGACGCTTCCCGAAGCCACTTGTCCGGGATCCTCCCTACCATCCTGATGCGGTCTTCTTATTCAGCAACCGAGAGAATATCCATGTCAACAGAGTGCGACGATCAACTGCAACAGATGTGCCTGGCAATCTTCCGCCAAGGCCGCATTCAGCGATCGGGGTTTGCCAACGGCTAAGTATGTGCCATGGCATTCCTCGACGACCCAAAGTTTTGGCTCAAGCATATAGATGACAACAGAGACCATATCCGCGTTGATGGAGGTTTGCCGCCGGCTAAGTATATGCCATGGCATGCCGACTACAACCACAGCCCCGGATTCGAGGCGCTCACTGAGTTCGTCTAGCAGTCGTTGATCGAGGTTCGAGAGGATCGCCCATACGCCTAAGTATGTGGCAGGGCAATCCTCTAGGATGTCTCAGTCCTTTACAATGGGGGACGTCCTAGGCCTCCCCGGCACAATCGGATTCTCCAGATAGGTCGGTCGATGACGACTACAACATCAAGGCGATTGTCAATTGGCAACTAGCCCGATTTGTCCCGGCAGAGGAGGCTTTTGGCCCAAGTCTCTTTACAGCGAATATTGGACAGTTGTACGGCGGTACCCCTGGGTTGGGAAGCGACGATCATATGTTTGCCAGCGAAGTTCAACAGACTGGAAACCAAGAATTAATCAAGTTCGCTTCGTCAGATGACCTTGCGCGTCGTTTCCAGCTTGGGCTCGCCGACCACTTCGGTATCGCAAGATGGCGGACCCTCATTGGGTTGTGCGGGAGTCTTTTTGAACAAGAATATAACGACCATACCAGCACCCTTCCCACCTTGTCAACCAGAACAGGTTGGACAAGCGGATGCTGGGTCGTGTCCTATTCGAACAAGAATATAACAAAGACAACTCGAAGTTTTGGATTGAAAGAAATTGGGAGTTGTAAACTCGAAGTTTGATTGAAAGAAACTGGGAGTTGTAAACTCGAAGATGATCTTTCTGCTGGTTCAGAGGGCGACTCGAAACTTTGGACACACATACTCGGAGAAAGAATCTCGATTTCACACCACACGATTCACTCATATTCACCCAGAATTCCACTGCCGACACTTCATCGACACTTTGATTCAATACAATTCATTTGGCGTTTGATTGGTCAATATCAGCCTCGGCGCAAGCACACATTCGCCGTCGGGTCTGGCATCTTCTATTGCTGTTTTCAACTTTATATCGAACTCTTTTCCTCACACATTCGCATTTCTGGCTGAGATACAATGGCGCCACTTGCGACAATTCACATATGCGAAGCCGAGGCGGTTGCGAAGGCGTCAAATACCACTCAACTCGCCAACTTCGTCACATTCATTACGCATTTTCATCATACAGGCAAATTCATGCTCAGCGACAAATCCCTCATTCCCAATCACCGATCGCAGAGTGATTTGTCGGGCGCTCTTTTGTTATACTTCACCATACTTGGCGGTCGATTGCCACAGAGCTCTATCGCCTCGCGAATATTGCAGACAACGCAAAAGTCGAGCCTCGTCTCTGCCAATTGAGAACAATGCACCAATGCACATAGGGCTCCCCCCGATGGCCGCTTACAAGGGCGACCAATTGGTCCAGACACTCAGTTCAGACGGCCCAAAGGGTTAGCTTAGCCAGGCAGAGGGTCCGGGAAGTCTATTAAATCCATACTAACTACAACATTCAACAAAAAAAAAGAAAAAAGAAGAAGGGAAAGAGAGAGGGAGAGAGGGAGAGAGAGAGAGAGAGAGAGAGAGAGAGAGAGAGAGAGAAAGAAGCAGAAGGGAAACCAGAAAGAAGAAGAAGGAGAAGAAGAAGAGCGGAGAGTGTGTGAGAGGGAAGAAGAAAGGAAGAAATAAGGGGAGAGGGGAAAGAAGGGGGAGAAGGGAAAGAAGAAGTCATCACCTACTTGGACAGCCTCCAACACACCACTCAGAAGACATGGCTGGCCTACAAGGAACAAAACAAGGGAAGGAAGACTGCACAGGAATCAATCATCATGTATGCGTCGGGTATTGGATTTGGAGGGTTAATATGGGTGTTGGAAAGGTGTCTGGGCTCTGCCAATTGGGAAGGAGGACGAGGTATTGCGCAAGAGAGGGGAGAATGGGTACATGTACTGATGGATGGATGAGGTGGTTGGGAGGAATATCGAAAAGTCAGGAGGAGTCAGCCTGGAACCAACACAATCGCATTTCCCGCGCCGCCGCTACGCCAATCTCGCCAATTATCCAACCGAGACAACAAAAAGAAGCTACAAGGATGGATAAATCACTGCCGATCAAAAAAAAAACACCCTACGCTCAAACCGCATTTCGCCCATACCACTAGCCGACGTTGACCACCACAAACGAGGCACACACACACAGCTTATTCGACTTGGCGGCATCCCAACGGTCAAAAGAACCAATCTAGCTCACGGAAACCACAATGGAATTGACAAGATTTGCATTGATTCTTAGTGGGAACAATGGATCTACGACGTCAGCGACTGTGCCGATTACGGTGGAGGCCTTCGATCGAGATGGAGAAGAACAAGGATCATCCCTCTCCAATGCAACAGCTCCCTCCCACAACCCTCCAGCAGGCGAACCAGAGATGGCGCTTGCGGGAAAATTCTCTCCTCGGTGCTCCCAACGCGGTGAGAAACCAATGAACAACCTACCCTTTGCGGAAATGCATGTGGCAGGCTGATGTCGCCGTTATGCCAATATGACGTACCGACAAACCACAACCCGAGGGCCTAATGCACGCTCTTAGCCTCCTCAATGCCGCGGCAATGGCCCGCCAGAAGCAGGATATGGACTTTGCGGGCTAGAATAAATGGCAGCTTGTGCGCTCTCGCTGTGGCTGGCAGGGCGCCCGTCCACTCAATCTGACATCCGTCCTCTTTCTCCGTCGCTACTCAAACGCCACCGAGAAATCAATTACAATGGCACCTCATCTACCAATCCCAGTGCCGACCTGGACAACAACAGACTCCCCCTCGCGGGTGGTAGCACGGCAAGTTGTGACCACAGTGACCGTCGTCGCAACCAATGACGACGGCTGCGTGAACTGCACCCATCTCAGCGGCGGCGCCATCGCGGGCATCGTCATTGGCTCGGTCTTCGGCTTCCTCCTCTTGCTCTGGATCATCCGCTCGTGCTTCAACCTCGGGGCGCCACCAAGAGAGCGGGAGAAGGCGTGGTATAAGTGGGATGAGGAGCCGCGACACCACCATCATCATCGCCACCACCATCGCTCACGCTCAGGACATCGCGGGCGCAGCCGAAGCTATCGCGCGTCCTCTATCCCGGCGGTTGTGATTGATGAGCGGTCCAGGAGCTCGCGGCGGCCGCGGGTTTATGTGTGATGACTACTCGGACTATGGGAGGCGATATTCGTGATTACAGGGGAATTGAAGAAGGAATGAGGTATTTAAGTAGATAGACTTACGTTATGAATCAACGACTTCATGCATCTATTCACTTCCCACCTACGAGGCAATCTGTTTGTGTGCAGCTCAGGAGAGGAGAGGGGAAAGGCAGGCCAGTCATACGGAGTATTAGGAGTTAACTAGAGCCGTTTACTTCTCAAATACACAGGCACATTTCAAGCACATTTCGAGATTCATTGACATCTTAAATCTATGAACGCAGAAAACCCTTCAAGCGGTCCATTTTGCAGGTATCGCAATACCCCCATCTCCTCATTCCCCAACTAACTTGACCAGTCATGAGGGCTAGCACGCGTCAGAGACTATTAGTATTCCAGACAAATATTGAGTCGCTCAAGCCAATTGACTTATTTAGGTGCAGGTGTGCCAATTAGTATCTGCGAGGCGACCAATTAACTCATTTGACTCCAGAGCCGAAAGAACAAGGCGAAATGAGAGTGCTATTTCCTTGAGCGTCTTGAAATACACATCTTACACCATGCCCGGCATGATAGAATCAAGGAACAATTGCAAAGACTCGACTTCTAGAAGGCTCATGCCTACCCAGACACATTGGGATCTCTTGATATTTGGCCGGCGGTCCAAGCGCTCCCGGAGCCAGCGTGTGTCGTCGCGGGCACCATGGTGATAGAATCAAGTGGTTTGGCATGCGTTAAGCTATGGCGATCACCTCTATCATACCCGCGAAGCTCCGGACGTCAATTGGAAAATAAACGTCACGAATGAGAGCAAAGACGGCCGCGAGGTTGCATGTGGTTGGAACAAGCCTACAATGTACAAGACGATGCTTCCGCCGAATATGTGTTCACAGCATCGCCATGGAGCAGTCATATTGCCTAATTAGGCGCTGGAACACACCGATAGCTCGCCATAGCTCTTGAGAATGACGTCGGGCTAAATAGAGGACAAGCCAAGCCTCGTCGGATTCGGGCGTCAAGGCGTCGCCTCGCTTGCATGTGGAATGAGCAATCCTCACGAAAGAATCCGCTTGAAAATTTGTTTTTTTTTCTATCACGAGCCAAACGGCTGAACGGCTCAACTAAGAATTATAAATACCAAGCAGCAATCGCCGCAAATCCTGCCTCCTTGCCGAATGCCGAGCAAGCAGCGAGAGTGCCTCAGCAAACCTAACAAATGATTTGCCTGGGCAGTGTTTGGATTACGTTTTTGTATGTTCGTAGGCCGTCGAACCTTGCCCAAGCGAGTTAATCCAATCCGCGATGCGGCCACGCGATTCGTCTTACCCCAAGATTTAGACCCCCTGCTTTCCGCCCTGGTTCCAGACATCTCCACCCCAGAAGCAATTCCGACGACCGCCCTTGTGTTGCCCTTTTGAGAGTTTCCATTACTCAATGTAAACCTCTTGCCAGTGGCACATCTCCGCGGCCAGACTCACTTACGGTGACGGGTCTTTGGGTTATTTGACTACGCTGGCCGCTTTCCGCTTTCCCCCCTTCCCTCTCGCTACCCATCATGTGCGGTTCCCTGAGCGAGAGGTGCATATGCCGACGCTGATCTACACGATCTGAGATAAAACCGCCTGGGAGACCGAATATCCGGGGTGAGCCAGCCATGGATCCGCGGTACTGGACGTTCGACGTAGATCGGTACATCAACCGGGCCATCCCGCCGCCGCCGTGGCGTCACATACCGTACCCAGTCGCGCGGTTCCTCGGGCACAGGAGGGAGGGCGACCAGCCGCAGGGGACGGGGAACCTCGTGCCCATCTTCTGGGCCTGGATCGGTGTGTTTTGCGGCGTGTCCGTCATAGAGGCCGTTGCGGCGCATATCCCGTCCTTCAAGGACCACGCGGCCCCCATCATCGTGGGCAGTTTTGTAAGTCTTGCTCTCCCTGTTATATGCGCTTGAATTGCACCAAGCAAACAGTAGGCCATTGGCTAACGTGAAACCAGGGTGCAGCAGCAGTCCTCGAGTTCTACGCGATCGAATCCCCCCTGGCCCAGCCGCGCAACGCCTTCTTCGGGCAGATCATATCGGCCGTCGTGGGCATCGCGATATGCAAGCTCTTCCTGCTCAGCGACGACTTCGAGTCCCTGCGGTGGCTGGGCGGCGCGCTCGCCTGCGCGTCCGCGACGGCGCTCATGGCGCTGACCAAGACGGTGCACCCGCCGGCGGGGGCGACGGCCCTCCTGGCGGTCACGGACGACAAGATTGTCGGGATGGGGTGGTTTCTCTTACCTGTGATGATGCTCGGGTGCGTGCTCATGCTGTCGGTGGCGATGCTCATCAACAACCTCATGAGGCGGTTCCCCGTGTACTGGTGGACGCCGGAGGATCTGAGGAAGGGCAAGCGGCATGAGATGCTGGAGACCAAGCTGTCGAATCATGGACGGGGGGGCGCGGGCTCGGAGAAGGAGCTTGGCAGGGCCGTCCAGGACGAGCAGGAGAAGAAGGGCGGCGACGAGACGGATCTGGAGGCTGGGGGGAACAGCTCGACGTGGGTGTCTTCAGCCGTGAGCACCGGCAACGACACAACCATCTCGGAGACGGATGGCTCCGAGGTTGTCGTGCGGCGCGGGCATATCGTCGTACCGGAGCACATTCTTCTGACGCAGGAGGAGAAGCTGTTTCTGGAGGAGCTGGCCAACCGCTTGTGAGGCCTTGACGCACATTTTACCGCATGCATTCAAAGATGCATTTTCTGAAAATAATGAAGGGAAGGGCATAGAGTTGTACTGTACATATCTCGTTTCAGGCGCAGCAATAGCACAATGATTTCTGATTAAAGTTCACTCACAGTAACTGGTCTCGTGCTGTGATTCACACCATCCGAGGCTGTGGGCAGAACGATGCGTTTGTGCGGCACAGTCATAATTGAACAATGGATCATGACAATTCAATGGCCTCCTGATTGGCAGCAAATGATTGGCTGCAGGTGATTGACCAGGGGCTTGCACAGTGCTGCCTGGCCTTGCACAAAGCATAATTCAGGTACATTATAAGCACAAAAGCCGCTAATTGGGCCTGGCACCTACATAAATCGGCGTCCTCCCACGCCAAAGCGCTCTAATGCTTCCCAAAAGGTCACGCCGAACTCTTTCGCCCCAGATGTTGGCTGAGTTTGTGAGTTGACTCATTCACCGCTGCCAATGGTGCACTCTGTCTGTTCGTTCAAAGCAGAGGCGTAGGACGAAACATGGCGCGTCTCGTGTATAAAGTTGACGCGCGCCGGCAACTTTCCTCTGCTTCTTTCCTCCCGGCCAACCGACAACACAGCCTGCACAAGAGACTGGTTCGCTCCTCCTCTCTTTCGCTTGCTTGCAATCGGCCCAAACCAAAAGACATCACGAGGTGAAAGAGACAAAGACGGAGACATCCACATTCCTCCACATCAAAGCGCCTCATTCACCTTCGCAATGGCGTCTTCGTCAGATGCTGGCCAGGAGCCTTGGTTCCTCAAGTCGTCTGTCCCCGTCTGGCTCCCCTACCATGAGGCACTGACTATGCCCAACGACGAATTCAACTCCTTCGTTCGCAATGAGCTCGATGGCAACACCATAGTCGTTCCCCCCTCAGGACTAGGTCCTCCACCTGGTGGCGACCTCACAGATGCCACCTCAACGACATCAGGCACTCACGTCACCCCACCTTCCACCACGGCTGACATCCGCGAGGCTGTTGATCTCATGGACATAGACGGCAACATTAGTTCCACAGAGCCTACCACCTCTGAGACTGCAGTTGGTGTTGAGGAGCACCCATGGCGGGCAGCTCTACTCAAGAACGTCACCCTACCACCCGCTCCTAACCTAGAGAACAAAGTCTTCACGTCCAACGGCGACCTCGCCCACTCATCCACCACCGATGCTTGCGTAGATCTCTTCTACGAGCTGGAGGACTCAATCTCTGGCGCTCGTCTGAGCGATCTGCTCGCGGCGTCATGGAACCAGGATGCCCTCCTGACGCTCAAGATCATCTTCAACGCCCGCTCCATCCACCTCGGAAAGAGCTCCCGTAACACCTTCTACGGCTGTGCTGGCTGGCTGTTCATGCACCACCCCCTCACCCTGATCGAGAACCTCAAGTGGCTCAGTCGCCCCGTCATCCAGAAGAAGGCCAAGAAGGAAACCGATGGTGAGGACGACGAGATGGTCATGGTCGAGGCGGACAAGGACCCCAGCCGCCCAGAGACCTACGACGTCAAGCACGGTGTCGCCCACGGGTACTGGAAGGACATCATCAACCTCTTGGCTCTGGCGGCCAACAACCAGCTCGGCGCCTTCTCTGACCCCAAGATCATCCTCAACTCCAAGAACCCGGGCATCTACAACGGCAAGAGCATCAAGATAGTTCGGCGACGCGCCAAGCTGAACAAGCGAAAGTGCCAGCCTGCGGATAAGACCACCGTCTCCGATTCCAATGCCAAGAACAAGAGCGAGGATCCCGTTCCTTCTTCAGACTACAAGGTGCTACGACGTGCCAAGCGGCTCGATCGAAACCAGAATGTCATCAGAGCCTTCAACGAGGACCTGCACTACCGCGTTCTCCACCTGACTGTCGCTCGCCTGTTCGCCGAGCAGCTGGAGAAAGATCTCGCAGCCCTGCGTGGAAAAGACTACCAAGCAAAGCGCAACATCTCGCTCTGTGGGAAATGGGCCCCAAGCCACGACCGGTTCCACGATAGACACACCTTCATCGTCAGCTCCATCGCCGAGATCATGCACCCCCGCGAGTCCTTCGACAACGTCCTATCCCCCTCTGACGACAGAGACACCTACCTCCGCTATGCACGGGAGGCATACCGCAAGGACATTTCCGCGCTGCGAAAGCACCTCGAGATCGTCGAGCGGGATCTCTCTGCTGGAACCTTAGAAAAGATCAAGTACGATCGCGTCCCCTCGGTAGCCATGCAGAACTATACCAAGGTCTTTGTCCAGAAGGACCTGAGGCGCTTTGAGGAGTACATCACCCGCGTCGCAGAGGGCAAGGCCAACATCTCCGGTGCCATCCTCCTCCCCTCGACCATGGTCGCCGCCGCACGCCGCTCCCGCTACGGCCCTGAGCACTTCAACCCACTCACAATCTCCGCCAAGCAGTTCGTCGACCTAAAGATCCGGGAGATGCAGACCAAAGTGGATGACGGGCAGTGGAAAACCCTCGTCCAGCGCATCAAGGACTCGGGCGTCCTCGCCTCCAGCATCGCCGTGTGCGACGTCTCCGGCAGCATGGAATCGCCGCGGCAGGCTGACGGCACCACGCCCATGGACTCGGCCATTGGTCTGTCGCTCCTCGTTGCGGAAGTCACCGAGCCCCCCTACGGCGGCGCCTTCATCACCTTCAGCCACAAGCCACGACTGGAAAAAGTCGATCTAAGCAAGCCGCTGTCTGAGAAGGTGGCGCAGCTAGAGCAGGCCCATTGGTCGACGAACACGAACTTTGAAGCCGTGTTCCTCAACCTGCTGCTCCCCATGGCGCGGGAGCACAACCTCAAGCAGGAGGACATGGTCAAGCAGGTCTTTGTTTTCAGCGACATGCAGTTCGACCAGGCCATTTCCAGGAGCGACCGATGGACGACGAGCTACGAGCGGGTGAGCAAGGCGTACAAGAAGAGAGGGTATGAAGTGCCTGAGCTCGTGTTCTGGAACCTGGCGGGTGGCTCGCACTCGGGCCAGGCTCCCAAGCCTGTGACCACCGAGGACGAGGGAACCTGTCTGATGAGCGGGTACTCGCAGGGTCTGCTGAAGGCGTTCCTCGAGAACGGTGGATTTGAGGACGGTCAGGAGGAGGAGCAGGAGGAGGTGGTGGTAGTGACGAAGGATGAGGGCGGCGAGGTGACGGCCGAAACGGAGAAGCGGAAGAAGAACCCAATCTCCATGGTGAAGAAGGCGGTCTCGCACGAGGCGTATAAGATGCTCCGGGTTGTTGACTGAGTTGGCTTGCGGTTGTATCTCCTGTTCTCGTTTCTTTTATGTATGATACCCTGCATTGCTTCCGATGCAAAGCTCCAAAAAGTGGAAGTCTTCAATTAGAATGAAATGATGAATTAATAGTTTGAGATTCATAATTTATTATCTAGACCGGTCTCATTTAACATGCCGCCATTCTTGTGAGTAAAGTGAAGCCTAAAATATAACACCGATCCATCCCATCCCTATAAGACGTATACGCTATCATAAAGTCCCAAATCATAAAGTCCTAAAAAGAGACCAGAAGACAAGAAAAGGAAAAGGGGTTTTCTTCATTGATTACTTCATCCGTCAGACGACTCACTCCCAGTCAGGAGATCCTCCGCCTCAAACGCTACAAAGATGCTGTCCACCATCCTCAGGAACCTCTGGCGGTACTCCTCTGGCTCGGCGGTGATGCTCATGGGGCCCCTCCCCGCCACGACGTTGAAGGCCTCGACGAGCCCCGTCATGGCCCTGGCGCGCAGCTTGCGCTTGCACCAGAAGAAGTCGAGGACGACGGCGCGGTAGCGCCACTCGCCCTTGACGTCGTCGACGCCCTCGCGCCAGGGGCTGGGGAAGGAGCCCGTGGGCGCCGCGCGGCTGGGCGGCGAGGACGGGAGGGAGGATGGGTGGCGGACGAGGAAGAGGGAGTAGTCGACTGCGGAGTGGGAGGCGAGGAGGCGGGTGTCGCGGGAGAGGAGGTCCATGAGGGAGCGCTTCGCCGCGGGGGGAACGCGGATCTTGTGGGGGACGATGTCGACGAGGTTGTCCTTTACGCGGGAGGGGGCGAGGCGGCCGTTGGCGAGGTCGCGCTCCGGGAAGAAGTAGTCTGCGGGCTTGAGGTCGAAGGATTCCCAGCGGCGGTGGGGGGACGTGTCCTCGAGGGAGGAGGTGGAGGAGGCGGAGGGTTTGCCGTAGAGGAGGTTCTCCATGACGATGTGGTGGGTTGGCGCGGTGCCGAGCAGGCTGCCTAGGCTAGGGCGGGAGGCGTAGACCATGTCCGTGATACGGACGAGGAGGGAGTCCGGGTGGGCGGTGTTGTGGGAGAGGTAGGGCCCGCAGAGGTCGTGGGTGAAGAAGGTGTGCTCGAAGCGGCGCGGGAGGGACTTGATGAGGAACTTGGCGTCCGGGGTGGTGAAAAAGGTCGAGCCGCTGTAGCCCAGGTCGCCTACCGGGATGAGCTCGGCCGCGCGGGACGAGGAGGAGTAGGCGTTGCGGAAGGAGTCGAGGTACTCATCTTCATCAAGCTGCCAGGCGGTGCGGCGGAGGGCGAGGAAGTCGGCGGGGCGGTAGCGGACGAGCCACAGGCGGAAGAGGGAGAAGAAGGCGATGATGGCGCGCAGGAGGCGGCCGTGGCGCTTGTGACTATCTGGGGGCTCTTGGTCCTGGTAGATGGCGTTGGCGATGGACGCCGAAATGCGTGAAGCCCTAATTTTCATTGTGCGTGGCCTCCTTTTGAAGCTACGGTGAAGACGGACTGGCGTGTGCAGATCAGATCAGATCAGACAGAAGGCAGTGACAGGCCCAGAGACCGGCGCAGGCTCACGCGCATGGCAGGCAACGAGGGGATATTTGAGGCAAAAGCAACGGCAGGAAGCTGACGACGACGCTCAGAATGTTTCCATCCAGTCCGAGGAATGTCTCATCTCAAGTCTCGCCTCGTCTCATTTCTCATGTCGACGTCGCAGGCAGTCAGCTTCGGTGACGTCACTCCACGCTGTCCGACACGAGGGAAGGCGCAACCACGCTTGAACTCATGCGGTCACGTGTTACCCTGGGAGTTGCATCTCTCTGCTCCTTCGCCTCAGAGCGTGCCAGATCAGCAGTCGCATTCGCATGCACGGGCAACCGTCCAGTCGCTTTCAAATTGATGAATCACTCAAGTGACGCCATTACGAGTGCGCTCTCACCTCCATTCCAGTTTCAGCTGGCAAGGTTGCATCGTTAAGTAAACATGTCAATTTATCCCCAAACTCTCCCCACGTCACTAATCATGTAGGTCTAGCTATAGCCGGCCGGCATGCATCGTCACAGTCCCACCACCACATTTTACTCCTGATCGTCGGGATGGAACACCAGGGCACGGACTTCGATGCTCTCCCTCGGCGGCGCATCCTCCTTGGCCGTCGGGTCCACAAACGCCGTGTGCGGCACCCGCCTCGCCCTCCCGTCCGTCTTGCTGTCGAAGCACTTGATCAGGATCACCTCGTCCGGCTCCAGCCCGGACTTGTAGAACCACCTGTGGCCCTCGTTGTGCCTCACCGCGTACGTCTCGCCGTTGCGCGTGGGGTAGATGAGCGGGATCCCCACCAGGTCCGTGTCCGGCACCGAGTGCGCCTCGGCCACGGCCAGTGGGTCGCGCTGGATCGTCCGGATGGGACGCCAGACGTTGATGATCTGGTACCGCCCGCGGAGCAGCGCGTCCGCCTCCTCGGGGAGGTGGTGAGGCACGCGGGACTTGGCGGCCGAGTAGGACTGGTCGATGTGCACGCGCTGGACCGGGCCGCGGAGGTTGCGCCCTTGCTTCTCTGAGCCGGCTGGGTTGCGGCGGATGGTGTGGTCGAAGATGAAGATGCGAGATGCGCCCGTGCTGATGAGAAAAACAGGATATCAGTAAATGAAAGTAGCTTGCCAGGTGCGTGCGAGATCAGACTTACGCATCCTTCAGTAGTTGCTCGGTGTCGGGGTAGTAGACCGCCTTGATATGCTCATCATCTGCGAAGTCCTTCTCGGCGGCCGCACGGCGATAGATCTGGAATCCATTCTTATCCAGGCTGTAGAGGTGCTCCTCGCCTCTAACATCATGAATAGTGGCATCGTGAGACGAATATGGCCGCTCATATGAATCTGGGCGGTCAACATAGGTAGGCCGAGGTGGGGAGCCATCCTCGTTGTCCTTGTGATAGTTCAGCACTGTCCTCACGTCTCTCTTGTCCGTATACTGAGCGAGAGTGGACAATTGCTCTATCTGCTGCTGAGGGTTGGCCAGGCCGATGCCTCCTGGTACAACAGAATGCTGAACTGCTGCTGCGGCCATGTTGGTCTGTCTCAAGGTTCTTGATTGATAGGTTGGTATGAAATTGGTACGATCAGATCCAATTGCTGGATACCTTTGATTACTCTGTCTATTCAGTTCTTAGCCGGGTCAGCCGTCGAACGCTATTTATACGTTGATCCAAGACGTCACATCATCAATGCGAGCCTCCCCGCAAAGCACGCAATTCCTCAGCGACAACACCAAATGCGTCGATTGATAATCATACCCAATGAACTCCGCACATCGATCTCGACACGGCGTCCTGGTGTGGCTGGTACCCCAATCAGGAAACGTATCAACAGCATTTGATTTCAAATACACGGCCAGACTTGTAATCTGCGCCCTCCAGGTTGCATAGTCACATGCCTGCACGACGCATTGTCGGATCATTTGGGCGGTTTGATTTTCAATCAACCTTCATCAATCGTAAACTGGCATTCCTTGCGTGCTACTAATTGTCCGTAGAGGTATCCATGCCGCCCGAGCGGCTCATCTATATTCTAGCATGGTCTATCGATCGCCTGGTCACTGCGGCTTGTGGACAAGTCTAGTAATAGAGGTTCCATCGTCCAACAAATCCGCTTCCTCCTCCAGTGTATATCCCCTCCACCTGGGGATCAAAACTGTCCATAGATACCAGTAAATAACACCTGCAACGAGACTGGAAAGTTCTGTTAGTCACTTATTGAACTTGACGCGATCGAAATGGGATACACTTACATGCTCACTCCCACTATAGCATAAGTGGCGTAAAACATGCCATTTGCTGGCTTCTGAGACGGCGGGAAGAAAGGTGCCGCCAGGAGCGCAACGCTCAAGGCGATCTTGATCAGGACGGCTGGTGTCCAGGCTTTGAATGGCCTTCTCAAGTCCGGTCGTTTGAAACGAAGTAGAAGCAGGCCAGAGCATATTGCAAAGCTGAATATTTGTCCTGGATAGCCTTCCAGTTCAAGAATGAAGGAGTATACTTCGGCCGATGGTGGCAGTACGATAACGAGCAGAGACGGGATGAAGTGGACGACGAATCCGCCCAAGGGTGAGCCGAAAGGCTTGGTCGAGGACAGTAAATGCGAGTATGGGAGGAATCCCTGTCTGGCGATCTCTTGCTTCAGGCGGGCCTTTGACTGGGTTAGTTACATGGGACCCTCAAGATGAATGGAGTTGGAAGGATGACTGCACACTGACCTGAGCAAATGCAACGACCAGCACGTTCCCAACCGCTGACAGCGCCACGGCAAGCGGCAAGGCTGTCTTGCCAAAGCCATGCCCAAAGATGCGCTCGAAGAACAGAGCAGCGATGAGCTCGCCGCTCTGCTTAATCTCGTCCACCGGGACGACCAAAAGGTACGCCAGATTGATAAGGATGTAGAGCCCGCACGTCGTAAACAAGGCTGCGGTCGTGACGGACTTGAGCGTCCGGACAGGCTCCTTGACCTCGTTCAAGACGTTGCTGACGTTGTCAAGACCGGCGAAAGAATAAAGGACCTTGAAGAAGGACGTGGCGATAGTGCCCCAGTTCCAGACGCTGTCTTCCCAGAGATGGTCCCATGATAGCTGGTCGCTCACAGGAGGAGAGTTATCGGTGGTCGCAGTGCCGGGGCGGAACACCAAGACATATATTCCCGACAGGATCATGAAGCCCACGATGGCAATCTTGACCCAGCCAAGAATGTTTTGCAGCCGGATGCCCGTCTTTGGGAAGACGCCGTGGGTCACGGTGACGAACACCAGCAGCCCGGCCGCCAGTCCCTTTCTCAACACCTCACTCGGGTGGTCGATGCCCAGAGCGAAAAGCACGTACTGGCTGAACACGACACAGTTACTCGCTGTGAATCCAAGAAGCACTGCCTGGATAGCCACCAACGTGGAGGCCAGGAACCGAGGGTGTCGGTACGTGAATTCCAGGTATACCTTCTCCCCTCCCGAGCGAGGGAGCATGCATCCATACTCGAGCGACACGGACAGCCCGCAGGCAGCGATGACGGCGCCAACGAGCCACAGAGTGAGGGTGAGTCCGGGGCTTCCGACGGAGCGCAGGATCACACCGGGCGTCGCAAATATCCCGCTTCCGATAACCCTCGACATGACGATGATGAAGGCGCTCTGCCAGGTGAGCGTGCGTCCTAGGCTAGAAATCTCGGGCAGTACATCGTCCTCGACGGCGCGCGTGGGGTGGACGTCCCCTGTGATGATGTCCTCCTCCTGGATGACCCTCGTCTCGGGGCGTTTATCTCCATCCTCGCTGTCTCTCGCGGTCGTGCTGGACGAGGGGGAGGAAGAGCGCGACGGCTCGTTGTCCTGTCGCTGGAGGAGGGGTCGGAGCTCTGGCGGGACGGGACCGGCCATGGTGCCTACTGATTAAAATCGCCGAAAATCCAAGTCTTCTAATCTTACCATCAGAGCGTCAGATCAATAGATTTTCAGCATGGTAGATACTCTTATGAGAAGTTACACCAGCAGGCAGCAAGGTCAGATCCGCGCCTCCCGCACATAGGAGTCGTGATTGACGTCGCAGACATCGACATATGGCGTTTTCTGCCTCCAATATGGCGAGGTGAGACAGCCGGCGGCCCAGGCGGCACCTGTCATCCTCCCTTTGGGTAGGACCTTCTCGCCTGGGAATTGGTGGGAACTGGCATTTTTGATTTCGAATCAAGGGTGATCTACTCGTACGCGGCTGACTTGGCCCATGGCGCGAAACCATCGTGGTCGCACGCCATCGCTCATCGCCCCCTCTGGCGCCCGCTCGAATCACCAGGCCGCGCCGCATGACAAATAATAGCGTTTGGAGATTGGATCCATGCCTTGTGTGGTTATTGGTTATCCATCGCTGCCGGGGCTATTTTGTAAACATGTGCGTTTGGTGGTCAGCCGGATGGCAGCGAAGTCCATCTCAAACTCGAAGAGGTGTTTCATAGCAACTGGGTGACAGAAAATTCAGACATCTAATTGGAAGGCGGTTACGATCAGGGCAAAGCGATAAAGATTTTTAATAATACCGGTCGCAGACGCGAAGCTAAGCAGTATAATGTTTAAGTGTCTGTAACTTGTCAAGCGGTTGTCTGGCTGGACCACCGTCCTTCCAATCAATATATGAGATCATGGCGGAAAATACGGATTTGCCAGCCGGGAGCTGCACAACGTCAAATGGCTGGTTATCTTGTACCAGATATCTATCTAACAATGTCTAACAACCACGCTTCATCAACGCCCACTGGCAGAGTCAAAGCTGCCTGCAGAACTAAAGCTGGCGACACTGCCTCGTCTTTTTACCTCTCGCCTGGCTACCTCTCGCCTGGCTGTACCCCGACCTTGAGCCTCTTTATAGGCAATGTCCAATATTTTTATGGCCCGGACCCAGGATTGAAGGCCCTCAATAAGGCTTTCACTTGTACCCCTGTCTTCTCGGAGGATGTTCAGCCGATCCAAATCACCTTCTAAATAAAGTCGTTTGACGATCCTAGTGGGATCCGCATCGTATTTTTGAGCAAGGTAAGCATGAGTGAAAAAACTTGATGTCACATAGAGCAGAAGAGCAGGGTGGTCATCAAGAGTTTGAGTATGTACGGAGACCGACGTTTTGGTTGATCCGTGCTCTGCAGCATCATCCGATACACAATCGATGGCTCCTTTGCTCGCCGAGATCCATTGAGAAATATCAATCGTCCCATCTACGCTCTGGCAGGAGCCAGCCATCTCCGACAAAGGGTGTTTCGGAGCTAGCCTTAGTGGAAGTGCCAGTTCTGCATGCTTCCTTTTCAAGGAACCATCGTCATCGCAGTGTTGCGATGTCAATGAGCTATCTCGCCTCATAGCCTCCTGGTCTTTGTCGGTCACCTGGCCGGAGTCAGCAAGCAAAGGGCCCCCGATACCACTTGACAAAGTTTCGAAGGCGGCAAGTCTCTTTTCCATTTCATTCTTGCCTCTTTCTAAGCCTGCAATGCTTTGTTCGAGTCTCCGAATATGCTTGAGTGCTCCATCGAGTAGCTTCGCCTTGTTCATCTTTGGCTGTTCCCCCTCTCCAGTGGTGGTGTTGGCACCGTTGTCCACAGACATTCGGTCATCAGCATGCTCTGTGGTTAAATATGGCATATTGGGTGATGGAACTACGGCACGTAAAGCGTCGAGACTTGCTTCAAGGCCGGTTCTATATCTTAGCATCGCAGAGTTGGCTCGTTCTAGATCTTGGACAGCCTTGCTCCCGCTAGGTTCGGCATCGCCAGACAAACCCGTGTGTGTTTCCAATGCTGTTGACGCTAAAGTCGGTTCAGCGCAGGCAATATTGTCCTCTGCTCGTATCCGAGCTTTTACCAGAGCATCCAACTCTTTAATGAAAATGTAATCCAGCGCCGTGTTCATTATGCATAGGTGGCCCTCTCCCATGTATCTCTTACGCCACAACAAAAAGTCATCCCGACTCCAGTTGGCTCGTATAGCGGGGTCCTGGAGAAGAATAACGAAGCCATCGCCATTTTCAAAAAATTCGTTGACGGATTGATGAATGACCTGTACAACCCGGGTCTCGCCAACATCCAAATCAAGAGATCCTGCGCCGGCACGCATTGAACTTGAGTCGACATTGTCGCACTGTGACCCGGCAGATCGACCTGTCACTTCGATTAATCCCTTTGATATGGCCTTGATTTGCCTTTCAAGCTGCTCGTCGTTCTCAGTGAAGCTGTCTGACTCTCGCCACTCCTTCAAGGAGGAAAGCCCTGGTTGTTTACAAAATGCTAGAATGTGGTGCCACTCGTGTAGCCGTAGCGGCTTGACCGCGAATATTACCCAACGAAACAACTTAGCAGCCAAGACATTGGAACCGGTGGCTGGGTCGTCGAAGAGCTGTGAGAACAGGCTTCTCAGGGCCTTGGGCAAAATTTTCAACTGCGAAAGTATATATTTAGGGTGTTCGCCTTCATCCCACATTCTCAGGACTTTCTCGACCACGAGAATCACCCATAGGAACACCCCTGCCGACTTTCGGATGATTGCGCACCTGATTTCTTCCCATTTCTCCTCTTGCCTCTCAGAATCATATGGGAGCTTCTGTTTCACGTATGTGGCAATATCGTGTTCATTATGATGCTCCACAATCACCTCGGCACAGTTTTCAAAGCCGACGAGGGGATACTGTCTGATTGAGATGCAAACGTTCAATCGGGATCCCTTCTTGCGAGCCTGTCTAGTCGCAAACCGCCAAAAATAAGCTTGCGAGCGCATCCAATCCGTATGGCATTCATCAAGAGCGTCGATAAAGATCGTGATGTCGAAGGGGATTCCAGTGTCAAATAGTGACGCGAAGATCCCCTCAAGTTGTCTTGTAGACCACTGGTAAGATCCCTGCTCACTCGAATCTTTACTAGAACCTCTATAAGCCCATACGTCGCTCACATCTCTGAAACCCCGCCTGAGTCTTGGGAAGAGTTGGTAAAGCAGCGAACGGTAAAGCCCGGCGGGGGTTCTTTGCAACACAGTGCCCTTGGCATCGAAGAAGAATGCCGCTGTGGCGCAATTCCCACCCAAGAGGGACCGCTCTTTGGAGCTGCGTCGGAACGCCTCTTTCATCAAAACCGATTTCCCAGCCCCTGGCTTGCCCTTTAAAAGAAGAAGACCCTGATACGTATCTTGATTTGTATTGTGAAACCAATTCTGGTATGTTTCGTTTTGGAACAACCAGTCACAGGTATCTTCAGCCGGACTTTCGACTGTCTGTTGGCGAAAGTCTATGCCAGGAAACCAAAGGTCCTCGAGAAGTTTCTTGTCACTCGCAGTCAGTTGCTCATCAGGCCAATGCCCCGACATTTTTGATACAGAACTCTGAGGAGGCATGTTGACCCATGAATCAACTTCCATAGGCCCACTTTGTCCAGGGTTGCGGGAGTCAAAATCAGTGATGGATCGGTAGATGGAGCAAATCTCTCCTCCAACTTTACGATAATTAGGATCGTCATGCCCAAAGAACCGGCACATGTTCTTGTGATTTGCCTGGAGGGTCTCCGCACACTCCCGATAATCTCCAATAAGGGAAGAGCTGTCCGGCACTACCTTGTTTCCGAGAACACCCAAGTTGATGCCTCTTAAGCCTAACCCCTCCTGAAAGGTCTTGATGCGAAAGTCGTACATTTGCCAGACGGCTGAGAAGGCCTCCTGGGCTCTTTCCAGGTCTGTGTTCTTCATACCAAGGGCATCGAGAATATCAGATGTTGTCTGTATGCGAAAAGCACTGATGAATGATCGCGCCCATTCACCAAAAGAAGCAAGATCCGGACTTCCTCTGTGGGGTGTGCCCAGAAACACTACAGCAGATGTCGACCTGACCACATCCTGATACTCAGACGATGGCCAAGCGGAGGATATCGCAAGCATCTAACATTACTATCAGCAACCTCTCTGCATAGAAAGCCCAATTGCCGTCGCACCTCTTTGACAACTATGCCACCCAGGCTATGTGCCACAAAGATGAGCCGACGACCAGAAGGCCGTTCGCGCATAAGAGCAAACAACAGATCCTTGCTGTGAGAATGGACACTGTTTTGGTTTGTCGCACCAGAGGTATACTTGGTGACTTTGCTGTCGTAGCCGAACACGAGAACTCGTGCTTTGGGGCACCCACTGGGGAGGAGGTCTCGAGGCCAAAAGATACATGATGATTCTCCTTTCTGCGAGCCCTGTGCATGAATATTCGTCTCTGATACGAGTGTCTCTGATGACTGACTTTCAATCTCCTTGTTTTCGGACTTGCTGCCTCTAAACAACGGGATGACTCGATGTGATATCTTTTGCTTTTTGCGCCGGTTGTCCTCGTCTTCCTCCAGTTCATGTTGCTGGTCTTGAGACTCCGTTTTGTATATCCAAGTCTTGTAAGGATGGCCGTGCAAACCATGAACGATCACGATGCTAAGAGAGGCATAAGTCTATATCCAGGCTCTTCATATGATCGACAAATTCACAGTGGACCTACTCTACGAGGGGAGAGCATCGTTCCGGCTCGTAAACCACAGATATACCTGTGTCCAGAATGTGACCCGGCATCCTTCATAGTTTGAGTCCACCCTCACGCAAACAGAGCATGTCGGGTGGTCTCAGGATCAACTTCGCAAACAAACAGTGATTGAGGCTGAGCACGAGATTACGTCGCATACCCTGAATCGAATGCCTGAGAGGCAGCGAAGGTTACACTGCATGATGCGGTCATCAGCATCACGTGAAGCCAGCGGCATTGGCCCAGCCCAAACTAATGGCCTATTGGGCAGACATGCGCGCGTAGCCGCGAGGCCAAGAGCCTATCAGAGTCTCCAGGTTTTAGATCCCGAGTGAAGATAATCCCGATAATATAGGTATGCTCCCACTCAAAAGCATAGTATACAACCCAGTGTCTTCTTATGATTCACATGACTGCGCTTTTCCAACATTGGGTATCGAAATGTTCTTGAAATACTATTATTAAACCTTTGAACCGTCCATTCAGCTTACCCCAGATGAGTCTTCTTTCTCGAAGTTCTCGTGTAGTGGGAGTACTGCCACTCAACATCCCCCTCCTTGTTATCAATCGTACAGTTCCGGATCTCATAGACTCGCATCGTCATCCGCGGTCCAACTTCCGAAAGCTCCAATTGATCATACCCAGTCCTCACGTACAAGTGGTGCCGACACTCTATACTATCATCATCCAATCTTTTGAACGTAACCACACGATTGCCAAGCTTCATCGATCCGTCCCTGGGGGGGAACAGGTGTGTCAGAATGCGCTGAACACGTTTACCCAGCTTTGTGGTGAACCCATCAAAGATAAGGTGCGGGTATGACTCTGGGATGGTGCCTTTCAGATACCCAGGGAGATCACTTCTAGGGGTGACATTATGAAGAGAAAATGAGATCGTGGGCCCATGCGGCATGTGACTAATCGTTAAAGAGGTAGGAGTGCCTCTAGTCTCGCCGAGATGGATAATATCCGTAAGGCCGGCAGCCTTGGCAGCACGCACCAGCTCCGCCATCGTCATGGTACCACGGTTTATGTACGTGCCCGTCGGGAGCAGGAGTCGGATCTCCTTGGAGAAGGTGTTGAGCTTGCTCGAGGGCGAGCGGGAGGTGGTGACGAGGATCCGGGGATCCTGGATCCCGGAGAGAGCCTGGTATTCGTCGTCCAGCAGCGCGAGATCGTGCTCGGCCGTCTCATCGTAGGCGTAGTCCTTGCGCAGTTCCTTGTCATTGGCAATGTCGGCGGCCAATGGCTTGCCAGAGGCCAGGGACTCTCTCAGCTTGGCTCGTCGCTCAGCCGTAGCGCTCTCTTGGAGAGCCAGGGCTCGCCGGTGAAGGTAATCCCTTCTTTGCCGGGCTTGTCTTCGTACCTATTTGCATTTTTGATTAGTGGTCTAGCTCAAGGGACAATAACGATCAAGGGGTCAAAGCGACCAAGGGACCAAATCAATCAAGAGACTCACCATAGACATTTTGCTGTGTTTATGAGGTTACTGATTCTAATCGATAGCAAGCGTCGCGAAAGAAAAAAAAAAGAAGCCTGTGACGATCTGCTTAGCTCAGCCAACTTTTTTTTGTGATAAGATAACGATAAGATAACGGGCCCATATTATTTTCATCTTCAAGCCAGTTGCCAGGCAAGTGGGTGACAGAGGAAATGGCACACCCAAATGGAGGCCTAAACAATCACCTAAATAAATACCCGAATAAACATCCAGATATCTAATAAGTGGGTTATTCTAAATAGAAACTAGAGAATATCAATATTTAGACCTAATATTCTATTCCTTTTTTCTTGTTTCAGTATTTTTATAGCTACCTAGTATGAGAGATAATAGATCAACCACGATTAAGGGAGTGCTAGGTGTGCCAGTTCCAATGTCACCCAACTGCCAGGTCAGGAGCAATGATGATGAACGGTCCCGATGCTTCACGTTCATCAATCGATCCGCAACATCATTCTCTTCATACGTCACAAACCAGACTGATCTTGGATGCAAGTATGCCGGTTGGCGAACATAGCAACAGATCAGCGTTTCCCGTACCAATTCATGGAACAAGACCAGCTCCAAGTAAGCCGTCTGTCACTCCTCATTGAAGAAGACGTGTTACAAGACCACTCCTCCAGAAGAAGCCACATATCTTCATCATCCCAAGTCAAATTGCGTGATCTCTGAAATACCGCGCCGGAAGATACTCACGATTCTATCCCTGGGACCAAAAACGCCACCCCATCTCGCAAAACCATCCGCAAGGGAGACTCACGATCCCCTCATCGCGCCTCCATCCTCCAGACAACCCCGTGTCCCAAAGTCCAATCTAATTAGAAATTTGATTCTCGGCTCCCCTCCGAGCCATGCATACCCTGTCGAAATTTCCTTCATCCCCTTGTGTCTCAAGCTAACTTCCCCACGAGAACTCCCAGTTGCGCCTTTTTCCCCAGAACAAATCTCTTTCCCATCACATGAGCTTTCTTTCCCCCGATCCAAAACCTCGCCGGTAGACGGCATTCTGGAACGGAGATTTGAAGCCGAGACGTGGCCTCCCCTGTCCCCCTGCGATCAAACAATGCCGGAAACTTTTGACGTAATTGCCAGTCCACGTCCTCAGCCACCAGTCGACATTGTCCGCGGTCGAGCATTCCATCACACCTCATTTGTCGCCCCCAGACTGCCGGCCGGTTCGTCAGTCTGGGCCGACAGCTCTCCAGAGCAGGGCGATCAACAGCCAATCGTTTTCACACATGCACAGAAGTTACACAAGTCAGGACTGAAAAAATTGTTCGTCATAATGATGATATTATTTTATTCGTAGCAGCTGTTTCCGCTTCGTAGTATGATCCTATCAAAATATCCAATGAATGCGTGCCATATACCCAACATTTCCAAGCTAATCCGTACCGTATTTTCGTCCATTTACTATTTATGCCTGCTCGTTCCAAAAACACCAAAAAAAAAACAAGTAATTTCCCTTTTCCCAAGATAACAATAATCTGCCAAATCGATTCTTTCTCAAGTATGACAGCAATAAACATAATAGGAGTAGTACTCATAATAATAACGGGGACAAGGCCCGTACGCTCTGTCAAAAAAAACTTATGTGACAACAATTTGAGCCCGTAGTATAAACCTCCTCTCCCATGGGAGATGGAGTGGTTGGGCAGGTAGGGAAATAGGGCTCTGCCCATATTTCCCGGGGATTCTGGATCCCAAATCTGAGCTTTAAAAGCTGAAAAGACCGCTCCTTCGTTTACCCAGCGGGTAAACAATCAGGGCGCTCATGAAGAGACCGACACTGATGCTGATGGCCACCTGAATGACACTGAACAGCACATTGAACGCAGTCCCATCAAGGTTACTGGTCGCAGTCGTATCGGTTTTCTTGCCGTTGGTAATCTCATTGGCAGAATTGATACCGGCTAGGAGGGAACCTCCTGCCGCGAGACCACTGGGAACCTGTACAAAAATAGCGGGAAGCATCGCCGCCGCCGCCAGGCTGTAGCCGGCTGGTCTTTTCTTTCGCGGCGGCTCTGCCTCCACGGGCGACACGGGTCGAGATTCGGGGTCGGACATGCCGTAGTCCTCGCTGGCCTTCCTGTTCATTCTTCGCCTTCTACTCTTGGAGAAGCGGGGGAGTACCTTGTACTGCCACCATTCCAGCAGATCCAGCCAGCCATGTTGTATGTGCCCTCCCAGTCGTGAGTAAAGGTTGGAGAGAAGACCAACAGCGAGAGCGCCGAGCATGTTCGAGATCTGGTTGTTGTTGAAGTAATCGCTAGTATAGCTGTTGACACAGAAGCCAGCCAGCGATATGATGAGCATTACCGGAGTTTGTTTCCATTGGGCCTGGTTGACGATGCACAAGCAGAGAGTGAATCCAGGCACAAAGAAGAAGTTCCATTCACGAACCAGCGGGTTTTCACATGTAGGTGAGCTCGTTGGATTGGAGTCGAGCATACCGTACAGTGAAGCCCCGATGGTAATGCCGTATCCGAGGAACAGGGTGTAAATCATGGCGTGGACCATTCGAACACTACCAGCGACAAGGTTTTGGCTCTGCAGCTCCAGCGAGCTGCACAAGACCATGTATCCGGGAAGGATTAATGCAATACTGCTCTGGGCCAACGCGCTGAAGCAAAAGGTCTTGCCACCATTGATGGAACCAAACCCACGAGCGAGGAATGAGGTTACCACGGATGCAGAAACCTCAAAGACGTGGGCGTACAAATCGTTGCTCGGGGCAAGAACCAGCTGGAGTAATCCGACAATGCAGCCGAGCAAAAATGCAAGCGGCAAGTCAATGAACCGGCCCTTGAACGCGAAGGGAGCCACACAAACCGATGCGACACCGTACATGAACACACGGAACCAGACATTGAACTTCGGGGGGCGGTTCATCACTTCGTCGAGTCTCTTCGTCGCCTCCTCCACACTAATCAAGTCGTGTACGACATCCTTATATATAATGTGGACATCTCGGAGACGACCTAGATCAACACCCTGGGGCACACGAACAAGCTTTACTTCTGTTGTGTGGGTAGTGCTGTCGTCGAAGCTGATGATCATGCAGGATGGGATGTACAGAAACTGGCCCTCGATCTCAAGGACGCGGGACGACATCATCATGTACTCCTCCAGGCGATGAGTCGGTGCCCCGTACATCATGAGTGCTCGGCATAGCTTAATAAGATATCGATGGCGGAAGATGATGCCCGCAATGTGAACGGTGATACGGGCTTGGTCCTTCTTTGGCGGCTTTGGGGGGTGTTGGGCGGCATTCTCTCGACGGATTTGTTCGGCCATGCGGTCGGATAGCTCGCTGGAGCCCGGTGCTGCGAAGATGGACGACGACTTCATGAGTTCAGTTAGGGTAAGAGAAGATGCTGAGTGATGCGACCGGTGGAGGTTAAACAAACCGCTAGAGCGCTTAGACCTTGGGGTTCCAGATCGAGATACAGGTCTCGAGGTCGGGGGTGAGGGCCGTGGCGAAATGACGGGAGTTGAAGGATTGGTCGTAGGTGTGTTGTTCCCAGTGCTACCATGTCCTCCTCCTCCTCCTCCATTGGATCTATCATCGTGATAGAGCTTGAGGAGCGAGGAGAGGACTCCTCCACGGTATTTGCTGGGTCGGGGCACATAGTCATGGACATAGTCTTGCTGAGCAACGGGAGTTGAGGTGCCAGACGTGGCCCGGGAGAGGTGAGGGTTATAGAGATCTTTTCTTCCCTTGCGAGTGTATGAACGAACGAGCTTCTCGGCTATATCGTGCTCGTCCAAAGTGGCAGCATTAATAGCTTCATATTCATCTGGGGAGACTTTGTGGGGGGCACGACGCCGGAGATTCACATCGTCGGCGGAAACACCAGCTTGACCCCGACTAGAACCGCCGCCACCAGCAGCACTGGGACCAGACGTGACAATGGGACGTAGCATAGGTGGAGCCCCCCTTGCGGGTTTCGATCTGATCCCCTTTCCCTCGTCATTATCATAGTCATCGACTATAACAGCAGGACGCGAGCTTCTTCCACTGTGGGGGTCATCTGAGTCGCTGAGCAAACTCTGGAATGAGGCACCAAGGTCCTCAGAGTTTCGTCTGGAACCTGGGGCAGAGTGGCTACCCAATGAAATGGCAAGCTTGTCTGCTCTATTTCTCGCGTCGTTTATGGATCTCAGGGTCCTCTTATCCGCTCGTTGCTCGGCTTTGTCGGCCTCCTCCTGCTCATGGGGTGCATCATAGCTCGTGTTACGTCGCAATGCCGGTCGTGGGGGACGGATTCCAAGCCCGCGGTTGGAAGCCGGGTCCCAGTCAGGTTGCAAGTGGAACTGAGGCGACGGTTGGTCGACGACGGTGTTATCAAACGACTCATCGGACAAGACCTTGGTGAGCTTGCGGCTAAGCTCAAAAGCGTCCGGGCCGCCCGGACTTAAGGCGCCAGCAGGGAGCTTGGGAGAAGCTGCTGGGGATAAGGTTGAAAGGTCAAATTGGCTGGCTGGTTCTCCTCCACTACCACCACCTCCACTGCTGCTGCTGGTGTGCCAACCAACGCGCTTCTTCTCCTTGCGGGCCGGCGTTGGGGCATCACTGGCCCTACCACTGTCCCTGCCGCTGTCCCTACCACTGTCCAACAGCTCGGCCGACATGGCCTTGGCCGTCTGTGTCTCTCCTTGATTCCTTTCACGATGTTGGTATAAGTGAGCCCGACCAAGGCACGCTGTACGTAACTCCTTGTTGCAGAGGCTGTCGACGATGCCTGGATTCCGATCGATCGACCCTGAGACTTGTCTCAAGAGGCTCAACCTGAATAGGAAAAGAGCTTGAAGCTTGACGGGGAGATGTCTCTGACTACTCTCCAATTGAGGTAGGTGAGGAATTGTTCAATAAACTTGGGCCACAGAGGCTTTGAAAGAGCACACGAAGCTGCTTCTACAAACCCAGGAGACAGAGAGAGAGTCGGCCAGGCGGGCACAGAGAG